AAAAAACTCTAGGAGCAGAAAAAAATGTTTTTGTAGACACTAAAGCTCAAAAACAATAACAGCCTAAAGTAGTGTGCATGAACACATAGGGTAACACTATTTAGCTTCTAGGAGCAGAAAAAAAATGCTAACAGCTTCTAGGAGGTTAAAAAACCCGCTAATGTGCATGGAGTCAACAAATTAGTTTTAGAAGTAGATGAAGACCCTGGATGATGGTTTAGGTATCAGTCCTCTGGGGGGAAAAAAGGAAGATGAAAGCATTTGCAGGGGAGTTTGATGTTCTCTTTGAGAGCAATAAATACCTTTATGGCCTCATGCACACTGCAGCTCAAAGAAGCTGCTCTTTCAGCTGTTTGGACTGATTTAAGCTTTTATTTTTCTCTGCCCATTAACTCCCCTCCATGTTAGCCTTTGTGTCCATGCACACTTGGAATTTTTTTCTGCCTGTAAACTCCTGAAAATGACATCTCTTGAGCATTCAGGAGAGGAGCTTTTGAGCAAAAAAAAATGCTGAAAAGTGAAAAAAAAAAAAAAAAAAAAAAAGCATTGGCGCAGAATTCTGGCCAATAGAATACATTAATACCAGATGCGGGAACGAACGTTACCACGCATGCAAAAACTTAGTTCTTTACCACATTTTTTTTCCTGAAAACTCCTGTAGCTCAAAATAAGGTTTTTCAGCTTCTCAGTGTGCATGAGGCCTAACAGTTCCACTAACACATTAGATGTATGCATGATAGGTAATGTCATGCTAGATCCACTTAATATCCATAACACGAAGACTTGAAATCATTTCTTTATGTTGTATTCATACATTGTATATACAGTAAATATTAAACACACAAGTGCAACAAAATGTCCTGGTAACATTATTGTTATCACCATCACAGTTACATCAGTCATTGCCAGTTAAGTATGCTCAAATACAATGCAAAAAGAAAAAAAGACACTACAATTCTGTTTGCACCTCCATAACATTCTTGCAGCAATTACACAGCTAAAAAATAATATACAGTATATGAATTTATTGTTGAATAAAACATCTTTTTAACAGAAACCAGCATTACTAAGTAAGCAGCCCATGTTTTTTCTTTCATGGAAAGAATATAAACTCCACACAACATTCCATTTTTGTTATTTGGAATCTGGTGTATGTAGGTAGTGTGCTCGTGAACTGCAATCTCACAGTAAAGGGGGCATACATTTTGCACAGCAAAATTGAAGCATTTGGGAAAAAAAAGCAAAAGTATACTGCATTACAAAGTCAATGGCAGGTTAATAAAGGGAACCTATTATGAAAACAACCACATCTCTACTAGTTCCCAGTTGGTCATAATGCTGCTTAACCTGTTTGTGAGTCATTGACCTGATAAAGTATGCAGCCAGTGAAGCGTGAGTCTGGGACTCACTAACTAGTAAAGCCTCAGGATAATTATCTCAGTCAGCAAATGAGCAAGAAAATGCTGGCACCAGTAGATCCCATATTTCTAACATGGCAGGTTCACTTTAAATTTGGTGAGGTACAGACAGGATGGCCATAGGGACCAGAGTAGGCAGGTTTGCATATTGTCATATGGATGCTAGCTTGCGTTGCATAGTTGCAAGCTCCTCTTCTATATAGCAATCTTGTTTGCTATCAGATGCCAAACAGTTTGTACATTTGTAAGTTGTAGTAAAATGATTGTTACCCAAAAAGTGGCCGACATACAAACATTGTCTGTAGTAACCAGATTTCAATGGTCGGTTTTGCATTGCAGATAATAAAAACAAAAAGCCCTATCTGTTGCTATGAACAATATCTGTGTTCTTCCTTAACTAGTTCTCATAAATCAGACCTGCAAAAGGGATTATGCCAGGGCACACATCAGTTTCCAGCTATGGACAGCCAAAAAAGGGGTAAAATGTAGTTTTATACAGAGTTTTTACAGCTGCTATCTAGGGATAGCTAAAGAGTGGTGACATGGGAAAGGGTCACCTTTTGGATCAAGCTAACTTTTTTCAGGGCTACGTGGAAGACTATGAAAGGACTCCAACAGTATGGCTGCTTGTATTTACTGAATTGCAGAATGTATTTATTTTATGCACCACAACTATTCTGCACCACAGAACTGCATTAATATTGTGTATCACAATTGTACCAAAAATATTATAAAGCTATTGTTAAATGAATAAGTCCATAAATGAGACTTGAAAATGGCTTTATATGTTTTTAGCATTGCAAGTGCAAGTTGTTTCCCTGCAACCCCATTAATTCCTTTGAGATTACTCTTCAACGGGAGTTGAGTTGTGAGTAATGTCACGTCACTGGTACAAGATAACCATGGTCAGTGGACAAATTGCCTTTCTTTAAGGGGACAGCTTAACTGGAAGCTAGAAAATGTTGTAGATGGATGGAACAAGACAAAAGCAATATGTGCTACTGAAAAGTCACAAGCAGTCCACCATAAATGCATCTTTCTAAAGCCAGTGTAAAACTGATGCGAAATGTAGCATTGATGTTTAGAGATCATTGAAGAAGTAGAGTAAAGAGAATTTATGTATCCAACAGCCAGATTTTGGATGGGTTTATGGTAATTGATACTTTGCATGGATATGTGATTCTTAATGTGAATGTGTGCTTTGACCTTGCAGGTACAATGAACTCCGCTCCCTCCAACTGTACATACCATTCCTTCCCGCCTCTCCATTCAACTGGCAAGGGGTGAATGGAAATATCTGGTACTTCTGAGTTTGGGGGGAGCATGTGACTCCTTACCCTTCCTTCCATGTGACAGGGCTGGGTGCCTAAGCACACAGTCACATTGGGGTTGGGAGAGCGTTCTCATCCCTGTGTAAACATGCATCTTCCTATCTTCACTTAGTTAAAGGGAGCGATCAGGAGTAAGAACAAGATATGCTGTTTGGGACAGGGGAAGTAAAGTAAACATATCACATTGTCTGATGTGGATTTACCTAAGGAGCTTTTTTTGATGGGCAAAAAAAATGCAGTGCGCTTTCAGGTGCATTCAGCTTCCATCTATCTAAGCTGCATCCACAAACTTCAAGCGAATTCCAATATACTTGCAAAGAGAGCAAAACAGATTGGATGCAAAGAAAAGCCTGTATACAAAGGTCCTAAAGCTTCTTTACTTGCTGTGATTTTGTGGTCTAGTTAAGCAGGAATAGCTGCCAGATGACAAAACTTCCAATATTATGTGCCAAAAGAGATCATCTGTAACAGTAGACACTGCGGTGGCAACAGCTGTAGAACTCCCTGAGCCTGTGGCATATTTGAATATAGTAGCTCTGAATATAAACACATGCAGGTAACGCAGAGTAGCGCCTACAATAGACCCTGAATAGAATTCAGTAGGTCATTATGAATTTCCCTTTCATTTATTGTTGGATGATTAAGAAGTGAATGTGGTGTGGAAATAGTACAGCAGGGTTGGAGCAACCAATAGTAGTGGAGAGGAGTACTGGCAACCATGTGGTCATACATATCCATCTATTATATTAGAGTGCAGCCGGACAGGGAGGCATTAAAGACTGGTCTTCCAATGGACAAATGGCACTCTGATGGTATAATGGGGACTGTTGGGGAATGGCTCCTAAAACCAAAGTCAAATTGCAGGTCCTTCTATGGCCATGATGGTTTCAGTGCTAAGGAATTTCTCAAAATGCAAAGTATATCTGGCAGCTTGGAAGTCTTAAACAAGGCTTCTAATCATCACTTTCGCCTTCAACATCGGGCTGTGTATATTTTGAAATGTCACTTCACTTAAAATTGTTATAATTGAAAACTGGCTGAATCTCTTTGTACAGTGTATAGGTATCAGTGCTACTGTAGCCGCCACTTGCTTATTATCCCAGAACTACCTTCATACGGTTCATGTAACTTAAACTGTAGTGGCACTTCAAGAGGAACACCAGCCAAAACAAAATTTATTTAGTTTTAGATGGAAACGGAAACTTGTTTAGCTCTTTGTTCCAATTGGGAAGATCTCCCCTTACATCCTGTCCCAGGAACAGACTGTAACCAGGGGAGTAAAAGAAAAATCTCCCCAAGGTTCAAGTTTTAACCACTGTCTTGCACCCCCTTTGGGGAGATTTCCCCTCCCTTCCTGTCCTGGGGAACATGGACAATTCAGAGCATCTTTTTTTTCTATGGGGATAAAGACCAATAAAAGCCTGACAAAGGTGTTAAGCCTTTCCAAAGCTATTTAAAGCTTAAAAGAAAATCAGTTAAATCAGTTTAGACTCAAGTCCCACTATAAGTTGCAATCACTTGAAGCTGAACTTCACTCAACACAAAACTTTATATGAACATAAGTAGAGGACCCACACCCAAGAGCCCCTGATGCACGTCACAAAGTTTCTTATATCAGCGCTCTAGTGATGTAGCACCAGATTTTTGGCTACTGGGAAGTGTGGTGAGCATTTACTACGCAAATATTAGTTTAGCAGTGCATCTACAACTAAGTACCTACTTACTCAGCAAAACTCAATGAGCCCTTTAAGAAGCACTTTTTAACCTGTCAGCATTACTGCACTAGGAAGTTAGTCTGATGGAACCTGTAAATAATAAATAAGCCCTACCTAAAGAAATTCACCTATAACTCTGGAAAATCATGGCTGGATGGATTTAATTGCATCTTTCTTCACACTGCACAATTTCACAGCCTTGATTCTATTCTCAGATGGAAACCAAGCTCCCAGAAGCCTCCTGTGTGATGTGGGGGGGGGGGGGAGGGAGCACAGTGTTGTATTACAGTACAAATATACAGCCCTCCAGCCATGTACGTCGAAAGCGCAAATTACTCATGTCAATCAATACTTTTCTCTGAAGAACTAAATTCTCTATAAACCTTCAGGAAAATAGAAGACATCTCAGTTGAGTTATTTCAAGTCAAAAAATAGTTTTAGCTTTTTTTTTCTCTTTTTTTTCTTCGCACAGTAGTGCAGCTGAAAGATTTGATGAAATGTTGCAGTTCGGGTGGAAACAAAGGAGAGTTCTGTCTTTAAGAGGCTGGAGGATGGATATCTTGGTTTTCGAAGGGCAGTACTGGCTCTCTCCAGTATGTGAACTGACTATAAGTGTCGGAGCAGGGGAAATCTGAGGAATGGCTTCTCTTCAACAGCGGAAAGACATGATCCACCACCTCGCAGAGACGTACGTAGCTGAAACAATAGACAGGAATATGAATTCCACAGAGCAATTTATCAATTCAAATCTGTCCTCCCATTGACAAGAAAATTGCAGGAGTTATATATAGGCACAATACAAAGCAGCTCAGGAAAGAAAGATAGGCATGGTCAGAGAATGGGTATGTTCACATCAAGAACAGCAGAACTATTCCATATTCATGAAAGAAATGAACCTGTCCAGACTTAAAATGTGATGACTCCTGTTGACATGCTGGAATCCTTGTGAAGCACCTTGGGTCCTAGGCCCTGGCCATACATATGGTCACTATTTCTCTCCAAGTCATTATAAAATAATCACTGTGTGATTAGAATTTGTACTTTTTAATACTGTAATACTGTGTATTTTTTAATACTGCTATGGAAAATTGTTTTAACACCAGCTCCTCCATTTTCTACCTGTGCTCTCTTGTGGTGCTAGAGGAGCCACTGGAGATTTCAGCATCCAACACTTCCGGATGTATCTGATGCCTGTATCATCCTGCAATGAATCCCCAGCCATTATATCATTAGAATGTCCATGCAAATCCAGGGGGAGACACACTGAGTAGCAGAGAGCTGCAGGCATCTGAATCACCCAAACATTTTGGATGCTGAAGACTCTAGAGCATGGGTCTCCAAACTATGGCCCTCCAGGTGTTGAGGAACTGCAAGTCCCATGAGGCCTTGCAAGACTCTGACAGCCACAGGCAAGACTCCCAGAGGCAGAGGCATGATGGGACTTGTATTACTTCAACAGCTGGAGGGCCATAGTTTGGCAACCCCTGCTCTAGAGCCTCCTCATATTGCTAAAGCCCCAGTTGAACCCACTGTACCCTAAACTAGGTTCAACTGGGGCTCTAATGATATGTGTTACAGCTGCATTTTCAATGTGACATTATAACTGAATTTTCAAAAGCAGTATTTTTACTGCTGAAAACGCAATTTCCCTGCAGCTATGATTTGAAAAAGGTGTACTTTTCTCTTACATCTCCCGCAGCTAAAAATGAATGGGCTGCTGTGCCCGCACAAACACAGCACACAGAAAACGCACATATGTGAAACTAGCCTTAAGCATTTGTGCAATATCCAATAATCCACCTTATTAGCCTTTCGGGTGAGACAGCAAAAATGCAACTGAACTGCTCATCCAATAAAGTGGTCAAATACTCGGCACCCAGAAGGACCGGGAAGAAGATGGCACCAGCAAGGACCTCACATTGTGGAAGCAGAGGTAAGCTATTTGTGGAGTTTATGTCTGCCTCAAAGCTTTTTTTTTCTTCTTTTACAGACAAAAGAGATCAAATGTGTTTTGAGCGACTTATTTATCACCTGTCAAAATAGTGAGCTGCGTTTCATTCATCAGTTGGATGTAAAAATAGCTGAAATTTCATTAGCACATGTGTGATTAATTAGATTCACACTTTATAATGTATCTTTTCCTCAGTAATTATCTCCCCCCTTGTTATTAAGCTGTGTACAATCCTGCTGATAATAATGTTCCTTGCTTCTGTTAATTATAGGATGCCTCAGTATATTGTTCTGGGAAAATGTGCTAAATCTGACATTACGAGAACAGTAAAATTCTTTGTACCAAATATTAGTAACATATACTTATTATTGACCCCATTTTATGTAATTGACCTCTTTCTACATCTACTCTGATTCAAATTTCTAATTTAGCCAACACAGGTATCTGCATATCTATTTGTCTTCAGCAATCAAAGCAAAACGGGAGCATCAAATATGTTCTAATGCTGCTAACTACTGGGAAAAAAAATATATTGCTTTTAACCCTTTCGCTGTTTTTTTTTTTGCATACGTTTAAAAATTAATTTCGGGCCTGAAGATTACACAGGTCTGGTGGTAGAATTATTTGCTCTCACTCTGGCGTGTGTGGGGTTATGTAACATGGATATCGCAATTGATGTCTTCATGCGTAGGCACGTTTTTTTTTTTTCTTGCTTACCTTTTTTTTTTCAGCACATAGGGGACAAACAGTCCCTTGTGTGAAGATTTTTGGTGACAGGTTGTTTTTAATGAGACCCTGCATGTCTTTTTGGCTCCACTCAATGTATTGCAATGCAGATCGTATTGCAATACATTGCTTCTTGGCTGTGGTAGCCATGAAAGTGACAGGGGTAACCTGGAAGTGACATCACACACGTTGCTTTCCTGGGTCACAGGAAGAAGGGGAGGAGAGCGGACTTGTGAACTCCGATACCGGGTTGTGTGGGAGCAATCAAGTAGCAGTACAGCCGCCCAACTGCTTCCACCTGACAGGCAGGAGTCTGCCTGTCCGTTTTAGACAGAATTCCAGTGGCTGCAGCCACCAGATTGTTTATAAAACTCCCTGCTGTAAGGTCCATAATACATATGAACCTGGCAGCGAAAGGGTTAAACCATTAATTGGCAATAGCCAGTAATGACTTATTTTATGTTTAACCGCCTCCTGACCGCCATATAAGGAAATGATGGGCGCAAGACGGTTCTCTTGTTCTGGGAGGACGTAAGATGACGTCCTCCCATTCTAAACCGCGCATGCGCAGCTCCGAGAGCTTGCAGCGCGGTGATCAGTGGTGCGCTGTGTCCCGGCACAGCGGATCAACGATCAACTGAAAGAGCCGAAGATGTCGGCTCAGTCGTGTGATCAGCTGTGTCCAATCACAGCTGATCACATGTAAACAGGGAAATGCCGGTTATCGGCATTTCTCTCCTCACGAGTTGTCACGCTGACAGCTGGAGCGGAGAGCCAGTAATTGGCATTCCTCAGAGGGGACATGTGCACTGATAATCAGGGCACTGATGATCAGTGTGTCCTGATGATCTGTGTAGCCCCAGCAGTGCCACCTGTCAGTGTCCATCAGTGCCAGCTGTCAGTGCTCATCAATGCCACATATCAGTGCCTACCAGTGCACATAAATGCCACATATCAGTGCCCATCTGAGCTGCCCTTCCAGTGTCACCCATCAGTGCCACTATCAATGCCAGCCAGTGCTACCTATCAGTGCCGCCAATCAGTGCTAGCCGGTGCTAGCCAGTGCCACCTATCAGTGCCAGTTGTTGCCGCCTAACAGTGCCAGTCGGTGCCGCCTAACAGTGCCAGTCGGTGCCGCCTAACAGTGCCCATATATGAGTGTTGCCTTTCAGTGCCCTTCAGTGATGCCTGTCAATGCCCATCAGTGCCACTATCAGTTTCCATCAGTGCAGCCTATCAGTGCCCATCACTGCAGCCTCATTAGCGCACATCAGTGAAGGAAAAAAATCACTTATTTACAAAATTTTATAACAAAAACTAAGAAAAAACTTTTTTTTTTCCCAAAATTTTCAGTGGTTTTTGGTTTGTTTAGCAAAAAATAAAAAAACCCAGAGGTGATTGAATACCACCAAAAGAAAGCTCTATTGGTCTAAAAAAAAATTATACAAATTTCATATGGGTATAGTGTTGCATGACCGCGCAATTGTCATTAAAAGTGTGACAGCACTGAAAGCTGAAAATTGGCCTGGGCAGGAAGGGGGTATCAGTGCCCTGTAGGCTAGTAGTTAAAGGGAATACACCAATCAGCTATAACCTTTAAATCTAATAAAACAAAACATATACATACAGCATACACTAATCATGCATAGCTTTGTGTAACCACTGACAGGTAAAGCGAACAACACTGAATATCTAGTAACAATGGCATCTAAAAGCAGGTGGAATATATTAGGCAAGAATTGAACATGTTGTCCCTGACGTTGATGTGTTGAAAGCAGAAAAAAATGGGCTAGCCTAAGGATTTGAGTGACTTTGACAAGGGCTAAAATGTAATGGTTAGACAAATGGGTCAGTGCAACTCCAGAATGTAGCTCTCAGTGGGATGTTCACAATCTGCAGTGGTCAGGACCTACCAAAAATGGTCCAAGAAAGGAAAACCGGCAACAGGGTCAAGGGTGGTACATGTGGGGAGCGAAGGCTGGATCATATAGCCCCATCCAAAAGAAAAGCTACTGTAGCTCAATTTCTGAAAAGTTAATGCTGATTCTGATGGAAAGGTATCAAACACACACAATGCATTGCAGTTTGTGTGTGGGGCTGTGTAGCAGCAGAGCAGTCAGGGTGCCCTTTCCTGACCTGTGTCCACAGCTAAAAGTGGCCACAACGGGCACATGAGCATCAGAGCTGGACCACTGAACAATGATAGGTGTCTTTGAAGTGCTGACTTGTGTCACTTGACCTCCAAATTCTCCAGATCTAAGTCCAATCAAGCATCTGTGGGATGTGCTGGAAAAAAGTCTGATTCATGAAGGTCCCACCTCACAATTTACTTTAAGGATGTGATACATGTCAGATACCACAACACACCTTCAGAGATCTAGTGGAGTCCATGCTTTGAAGGGTGAGGGCTGTTTTGTGGAGAAAAAAGGGAAACCTACTCAATGTTATGACAGGTGGTCATAATGGTATTGGCCTACCGGTGTTTATAAAGTATTTTGGAAAAAGTAAGCTTTAACAGCTGACAGATTTGTTCTGTCATCTGTGTCCCATTGGAGAAATTTCCCTTCACTTGCTGTTCTGAGGATACAATAGGAAGCAAGAGAATTTCTCTCTTGGTCAGTTGCTAACAGAACTTGTGTTCTCACTAAAGATTTCTCCTCTATTCCTTTTCTGGTGTGAACTCAAAATTTAAATGTTTCCTCTTTTAGTCCTGGTGCAGTGGCAATGGTCCCCAAGACAAAGAATGGATCTTTATAATGGGGACACAGCAGTAAGAATGTGAAAGGAGTTCTAATCCTCCCCGTTCTATCCAAAATATAAAAAAAAAAAATAATAATCTTGGCTTTATATAACTTATTGTAATTTTATGACAGTGATTATTATAATTGTAATAATGGTATTACTATTATTATATATTTATATTGTAGGTTTATAGATTTTAACCCTTTTATAATCAGAAACCATTTTACCCTAGACCAAACCTAGACTATACAAAGATGCATTTACTATATAACAGTTTTGGGTTTTTTTTAAACAAAACTTTCAACAAATCTAAATTCTTTTATTTTTTTCTCATTTTGTTTTTTAATACGCGGTGCAGCTAGGTTCAAACTATGCCAGTATCCCAGCATCCACGTTTGCACAGGCACAGCACCTCATTGATTTGAAATGGGTTTCAGCAAAGCTAGCTGAAATCTTTGAAAATATTTTGCAAAATCATGTTGTACACACACTGAAGCCCATATGTATAAAACCTTCAGGTTCATGCACAAGGGCATCAGACTAAAAGATGACACAAATGCATTATGCTTTCAGGTGCTTCTGAGTTTTTTATGTTACTTTTGTGTTCACTTATATGGATAAAAAGCCATTCCAATAAGCATGTACACAAGTCCTTATTATCACTGATGTGAGTCTAGTAGGAGATTCCCCATAGAGATCTATAGGGGAGAACCGCCTGGGTAGGAGTGCAGATGAGAAACCACACAAGGTCCTGGTGGAAGCAACACTCAGCATGGCACATTTTGATGGATCACAGAGTTGGGTTTGAGAACTACATCCACATTATTGGCCCTGACTACCTTCATTCTCCACACAGACGTACAACTTCTCTTTGAAACTCTCCTTTAATAATGTAAGCATAGCACTCTGCACAATTATCCACAGTAAGCTGCTTTCCCCCTTTATCATTTTAGAGCTGTCAAAAAAAATTAAATATGATTTCTGGTTGGTAGGTATGTGGTACTGCACTTTCAGCACTGTTTTTTATGATTCTGTCACTGAAGAAAGAGCACTTGCACAGCAGTTGACCAGTTACCATTTTTTTCACATACTTATTCATTTATGATGCATGCATGTATGAATTGTTGCATTTATATATACACACACATGCTTTTTAGTAACAGATATCCATTATGTCATAGATATCTAATAGGTGCTTCCCTGTTTTTAAAAAATTTAGATGAGCCACCGTTGTTTATGCAGAATCTGTCAGGGACTGGATTAAAAAAAAAAAAAAAAAAACTATGAACCTGGACATTCTAAGTAATACTAAACAACTATTTGCAATGTCCAGGACCATGCAGGATTAAGATCTCCCAAATCTATGCCACTTTCTGCCATTTACCTGGAATTTTAAACAAAAAAAAAAGTTGTCCCAAATCACGATTTGCCCCTTTTATTCACTTGAATATTGCAGAAGGAATTCAAAACTGAACTCCAGGCACCTTGCAAAATACACAAATGTTTTAAGCCATAGATGGACCGAATATCGGCCGGTTCAGCAGGGCCTGGCTGAGATTCCATCCATCTAGGGACAGGCTGGTTGTACCCAAGTTGGTCCATCGATTGACTTTGGTACAACAAGCCTGTCAGATTTTTTTACACATGATTAGTTGCAAGTGGCTATAGTCGCTAGCAGCAATCACGGTGTTCTGCTGGGCAGGAATTCTCCCTGTCGACAGAACACACTAGCACTACAGGAGGAATTCCCCCATCAACACTCACTGCATTGGTGGGAAATCTAGCAATTTTCTTTCCTGCAACCCATGGTTACAGGCAAGAAGACTGACTCATCTATGGCTTGTCATATATGCCCTCAAAGTGGCAGTCATGGGACAACCATGTCTTGATGGAGAACAGTGGTATCATCTCTCTGTCCACTGCCTGTTGACAGAAAAAGCAGGAACACATTGATGAGCCACCAGCTCTACTCCAAGCACATGTACATGCAGCAGAGGCTGATTGGCTCCTAGTGCTGCCCTTCCCTCTCACAGCTTGAGTGCTTCGGTGTCAAGGAAATGACAAGGGCTGATATCAAGAGAAAGTCAATTACTTAGACAAGCTATTTGTAAAAAAAAAATTTTTGAAATGGTTTGGGATGCTATGTACAACCACAAATGAAAAGACCCTGTCTCCTTTCCCGCTCATGTTTCGAAATACCAGGTGCTTACTGGTGTTGGAACTTACAAGGAATGATGATGCTAACCTTTCATCAAATCACAATGTTCAGACATAGCAACTGGCCAAAAGACCCAAGCGCACTGGGTATTTGCAGCAGCTGCAACAGAAGAAGCACTGGGGAATGCTGTAAAGACGATCAGAACTGGTTCAGGGGTGGGCTTTAAGGAAGCCGATACGTCTCTGTTAATGGTACAGATGAAGGGTCTTTTAAAAGGTGATTTTGTATTCTGGTGCTACCGAAGAAGCTCTTATTAGAAGCATAACGCGTATAGGAGCAGGAGCCACACTGGTGAGCTATACATTGCTTTAGATATGTGGACGCACTGGCCATAACCCATGTCGTTTTTTTGCTGTTAACATAATACTTTGGGCTGTTTTTTAATATGAGTTTATTCATTTGGGAGTTTTAATAAAAAAGGATTATACAGAAAGCACTATTTTGGTCCCATTTTGTTTTTTTTTGCATGCATATTGTATCTACGAGAGAGTGGAGAATTGCTGGTGGAGAATAAAAGCCAGATGCCTAATAGCCCATGGTGGGGCGAAAAGTGTGCTATGACCTTAATATATCATTGGGGTAAAAAAAAAAAAAAAAAAAAAAAAAAAAAGGTGAGAGTATGATATGAGCACAGGGTGGATGCATGTAACACCTGGATGGGATTTTTAGGACGTTGAGAGAAAGCATAAAGATGATGGCACATTGGTGGAGGACTTTTCAGGACACCTGTGATATCATTTGAAGGCGGAACATTTTGTTTTTTATTTGGATTGTGCAACATCATATGTATAGTTTGTGATTTTTATATCTGCCTCAAGTTCAGCTTTAAAAAGTTATACGATTGCCTCACAATAATAAACTACTGCATCACCTGTTTCAGATTTCAAGTAAATGCTAAGCAATCATACTTATGCCAAAGTGCTAAATGCAAAGTGCAGTAACCCACTGCAGCCAAGCAGAATTCATATTACACATCATTATTATACTTCACGCTTCCTTATTACACAGCCCTGTCTGTGTTTCATTTGTTGGACATCAATGCCTGCTGTGTTTTTAAGATAAGATTTTTGATTCTTGCAGCCCTGGGATAAAAGGAGGTACTTACGAGGAGATGTTGGTCTTCGCATGCTCTTGGATGAGCTCTCCTTTGGGATTCACCGTAAATATTCTGTTCAAAGAAACTCCCACTTGCTTATACGAATAAACATCCTGCATAAATCATACAACCACATATTAGTTTATGAAACGGACAGTTTAATGCAGCGATAACTGCGTCAGTTGCTCAGAGTTTACAACATGCCAATTGATTTATGATGTCATAAAATGGAGTCCTCTACAGAACCCGATAAAATAAGGGAATGTGGAAAAGCCCCATAAAAACAGATCCATGTATTATTCAATAAATTTTCTTTAAGTGTGTCCAAGTGCTTTGATTTTACGTGGACAATGTCGTAAATTCACAGACGAGTCTTATTGGATTAATACAAACAGTTTAATCTTTATCCCGTGGAGCGAGTCTAATCCTGCCAGAGCTGGGATCTTGTTACCGCAGGGAGCAATACACTGTGGGGATGTCACAACACTTTCTGCTTGGTACAGATATATAAAATATTAATAAGCTCATCGACTCATGCCTTCACCTAAGAAACACTCCTTTATTTCTTTACATGGAACAAGCTTCATGAGATGGCTGTGCTCCCCATCAAAAAGATAATAAAATACAATAGACTTTTCTATTTTTCTTTTATTCAGTATTAAGGTTAACAAGTAACAATGAAAGGATTAGTGTAAAGCTGGCCAGTCCTTCAAATAAGGGTCTTTTGTATACGTAACTGCCAAATATGTGTTTTGGGAAATGCTCTAGCATGTACTAAAGGTCTCCTTGCCTCTAGCAATTCACCAGTCAGGGCTGGAGGGGTGATTTGAAACAAATCAACTAAGCTCCAATAGGCAAACCAGTTTTGAAGTTTATCTATCTAGGTTGTTCTAAGGTGCAGTGGACCACTTGCTAGATAGCAGTCCTGGATAACTGCTGGAGAATGTCCTTTCCATAGAAGAAATGTCTGAACTATGGTACAATTTGATGTTTGGCAAAATAAGTCTGGCAAGCCCTGTGCAGGAGAGGAGACGGTGAGGAACCTAAACCAGCAGCCTGGCAAATATTGGTGGCTTAGTCATCTCAGTCCTTGCTGCTGGGCTCTTGAATCACATTTTTTGTTAAGAGCTCAAGTTTCAAGGAAAGCATTCAAAAAGATACTCCCTTCTGTGCAATTTTCTGACCACTCTAATGCTTGAAGAAAAGAAACCTTATTGAGATGACTGCTTGAGGAAAGGAACCCTATAGAGATGACTGCCTGGGAAAAGGAACCCTATGAGATAATTTTTTGAGCAAAGGAACTCAAGAAATATGATTACTTGGAGAAAGGAACCCCATAAAAATGATAGTTTGGAGAAAGGAAATCTATAGAGATGAGTTATTGGAGAAAGGAGCCCTAGACAAATGGCTGCTTGGGAGAAAAGGAACCATATAGAGATAACTGCTTGGGGAAAACAACCCTATAGAGAAGACTACTTGGGAAAAGGAACCCTATAAAAATGATTGTTTAGGGAAAGGAACCCCATGAAGATGATTGCTTAATGAAAGGAAATCTAAAGAGATGGCTGCTAGGGGAAAAGGAACCCTATAGAGATGACTGCTTGGAGTCATACCCCTTCAAAGGTGACTGCTCAGAGAAAGGAACATTTTAGAGATTATTACTTGGGGAAAAGATCTATACAGAGAAGATTGTTTGGGGAAAGGAGCCCTACAGAGATGAAATGATCCCTATAGAGAGGACTCTGCAGGGTCATATAGATAGAAGCCGTGTGGTAATCTCAAATGGTGACAAAAAGGTCAGGCCTTTGGGTTCAAGCAGTGAACATATCTGACTGATTTAAGAAGTAGAAAAGATAGGAATAGTGATATAAGAACTGCAAATACAGTATGTGCACATGTAAATACAGAGAGTAAAATAAAAAAAAATTATATTAATACACCAAATACTCTTTACAGGTGCTAACTAAATGTAGCAATCAGAAAACAATTATTTTCACAATAGTGTTTCTTTAAAAGAGTAGACACCCCCCCCCCCCCCCTTCCAAAAAAAAAATGAAAATCACCTAAGTGGATGCAGCATTGATCCAATGCTGCATCCGTCCCCCGCTGCCTCTACACTGAGAACTGAGCGATCAAACACTGCTGATCACTCAGTTCTCCCCTCCTCTCTGAGCAGAGAGCAGTAACTGTCAGTTCTGCCTCTCTGTTCTGCCCCTCCAGAGCTCACTAGAGCACTGAGCTGTGCAAGAGGTGAAAGGGTCTGGCTCAGTCTCCCAGTGACTTTCTGAGGGGCTGAGCCAGCTGCCAGTCCAGGCTGCTGGGTGGATCCTAAAGTCGGAATTGATCCAGCGCTTCGACCGGTTGAGTGGCGTCAGCCGACAGCAGCTGAGAAAGGGTCACAGGAGTGCATTATGAATCATTCCTGTGATCCATAAGAGAAGTAGGGCCAAAACAGCTGTGGCCCTACTTCTCCTTTAACATCATTTTTTATAGCTGTGAAGCTGTTATATTTGGATTGTAATATGGCTGTATCACAGATCTAGGAAAATTACTTACAGTAGGTCGGTTCCCAAAAGCAGCATAGAAGGGCTCTGTATTGGGGGAGAAAGAGATTTTTTATATCTGTCAGACACTCGATCTTGAATTTTTTCTGGCTTCTTTTCTATGACTTCTCTGAAAAAAAAAAAAATGACATAAGAACTGTGATTAGCTTGACAAAAAGTCAGGATCAAAAGTACAAAAAAGAGAAGAATGTTAAAACTAGAAAACGTTAAACAATGATTTCACTGACCTAAAGGAGTCTAAATATTCTTTCCATACAAAATTCTTTACATACGAAAGGAGACCAGCAAGGACACTGACACTTCCTGTGCCTTGAGCCTCATAACCGCATATCTGCAGTGTGAGACCTTCTAAGGTACTGTGCACCTGTGACTGCAAGTCTAACAAGATTTAGAGTGAGATTTGAAAATGTCAAAAATGTGCAGCAGTTCTCCTACATATCTTGTAGTGAAGCACGCTCTAAGCTGCCTCTTATCCAATGCCTTGTGCATAGGAGCAACAGCCTAATGGCAAGAATTAAGCAAGTCAAATCTCCCTTGTATCAAAGACATATGCACAAAGGCATATACCCCTTTGTTAAAATGCAAAAAGTTATGTCTACTGTTTTTTTTTTTTAAATCAGCTTTTTTATTGCTTTTATGTATTTTTTTTTAACAACAAAACAAAAACATACATAAACGTACATCTTAGATTCTTCCGTTTGTTCTTAGATACAAATCAGGTGAATTGCATACATTCATTGCATGATATTATTCACAGAAGTTAAAAAACTTAAAGAGTTAACTCCACTTTTGTTGAGAAAAAAAAATCCTCTCTGGGTGATCAATGTACATTGCAGGGATTTTAACAAACTTTGTTGCATATTCCTACCTGTTTCTGCTCTAAAGAAAAATCTGCTTGTTTTATGTCAATGTGCAGAGTGAATCTGAATGGGAGTGACTTTTCATTATTAATCAGCTGATGCACTTGCAGTGTCCTAATGAGGAAAATGCAGGGTCTGCATCACTTTAGAAGTGATTAACCCTTTAGGAGAATCACCAAAAATGAAATTTGTTGCAGAGGATGCCTAAAATCTGATATGTTATCAGACTTCTTGGAAATTCAGTATGCCAATCATGCAAGCAGGAAATGACATTCCTGGGGGCGTTCTGTATACAAACACGGAACGCCTCTAGGTTGCCATATTGCATTGCCTTTTACAGAAAATTGAAAAGAAAAGGTATTTTTTAATGACATGAAAGGAGAAGTACAGCTAAAGCTCTTTTGGCTGTACGTCTCCTGTGGATCACAGGAATGCAGTTTGTTGTGCACTCTTGTGACCCATTTTCAGCTAACTTAAGCCCACTGTCAGCTGACGTTACTTAGCCGGTCCAGGCTGGGGAAAGACCAGAGCGGCTGTGAGAACTCAGCGATCAGCAGTCATGTGATCACTGAGTTCTCACACTTGGAGCCGCTTGGGGACCGATGCTGCATCCACAAGCAAGTATGATTAAAAAAAATTAAAAATAAATACCATATTTGTCTTTTAAATTACAATGTGACTTGTATAGCAAAAGTATATGCTATTTTTTTTTTTATTTGCCATTTTGTTCTCCACGAAAGTGGAGTTACCCTTTAACTATACTGCACAGTATAAATGTTGTTACAGTACAATCAAACCATTAAGGTACATTCTGTGCATTAAGGTAAAAAGCCTGAGTTCAGCTCCCCCCAGCCCCCCATATACTTACCTGAACCTGCATGCATGCAGCCTCACTGCTCTCTCTCTTTCTCTCCTCACTGGCACAGAGACAGTGAGAATGAAACGGGGACAGAACCAAGGTGTGCTCTGTGTGTCAATGGGCACACACAATGGCTCGGGAATGAGCCTGCACGAGTGCCCCCATAGCAAGCGGTTTGCTCTGGAGGCACTCAGCAGTGGGGAGGAGCCAGGAGCACCGGTGGAGGACCCGAGAAGACGAGGATTGGGACTACTCTGTGCAAAATCATTGCACAGAGCAGGTAAGTATAACCTGTTATTAAAAAAACATTTTCCCTTTATATTCACTTTAAAGACTGGAGATTGATTTGCCTTGTGATACACTATATTTATGTACCTATACCACGCTAAAAAAATATATTATTGTAATTCATAACCTCTGTGATATTAAAGAGATTGGTGCTAGGCCTGGGACAGACAACCATGGCACTAAAGAAGGATATACCCATAGTTTTTCAAATTTCGGGTGGCATTTCCCCTGCTGAAAAAAATAGCTTTTCTCTGACGAGAATGTCTACCCTTCTTTAGTGCCTAAACAGAAGATACTCAGTCCAGCTCTCATTTCTCTCTCTTATTTTACCAGTCAGTGAAAGCACACACCCAGCCATGCAAATTTTTGGAGAAAGATGAGAATTTAACAAAAAGAAGAACTGCATATAACTATGATGAAAAAAATGTGCTGCTGACAAATATCAGCAATATTTTGCCTACCTGTGCAGTGCAGAGAACAAACTGCTAGGACTGAGGAGTACAGGTCCTTGAGGTAACACCGTGCCACGCTCATTTACCCAGTGCAGGTAGCCTCGAGTCATGTCAGCCATTCCTATAGCCCGTGCTGAACAGTATAGGAATTTATATCCATTCCTGATGAATAAAATAAAAATATAGTAACAAAATATACAAAGGGTTTGAACACATGAAGAGTTGTCACTTGTACTACGCATACAATGGACTTATGGTACATTTGGATTTTTGTGTGTATAATATAGATTGCATGTCTATAAGCTTAGCCATAAACATTGGGTTAACTCTTCCTTTCCTGGGACTGCACATAACAGTACATCATTTAACCCACTAAACCAGGGGTCTCCAAACTTTTAGAACATAGGGCCAGTTTACTTTCCACACTTTCGGGGTCCCAGAACGTGGCCATTGGGAGTAGAAAATGCTCTGGCATTGGTGGATGGTAAACTTGCCTAGTGGTCAGTGGGAGCAAAAAAAATTACCCTATCGCCGGTACGGGTGGGAAGTATAGTACCCCATTGCTGGTGTCCGTGGGAAGTATAGTGTCCCATTGTTGGTGTCATTGGGAGGCATAGTGCCCCATCGTTGGTGTCAGTGGGTGGTATAGTGCCCCATCATTGGTGTCATTGGGAGGTATAGTGCCCCATCGTTGGTGTCATTGGGAGGTATAGTGCCCCATCGTTGGTGTCATTGGGAGGTATAGTGCCCCATCGTTGGTGTCATTGGGAGGTATAGTGCCCCATCGTTGGTGTCAGTGGGTGGTATAGTGCCCCATCGTTGGTGTCATTGGGAGGTATAGTGCCCCATCGTTGGTGTCATTGGGAGGTATAGTGCCCCATCGTTGGTGTCATTGGGAGGTATAGTGCCCCATCGTTGGTGTCATTGGGAGGTATAGTGCCCTGTCGTTGGTGCCAGTGGTGGTATAGTGCCCCATGTTGGTGTCATTGGGAGGTATAGTGCCCCAATGTTGGTGTCAGTGGGAGGAATAGTGTCCCATAATTGGTGTCAGTGGAAAAATTAGTTCCCCATCTCTAGTGTCAGTGGAAGAAATAATGTCCCTTCATTGGGTCAGTGACAGGAATAATGCCTCACTTCAGTGGAAAAAAGAGTTCCCTAAGGGCCGGATAAAGGCAAGCAAAGGGTCACATTCGGTCCGCGGACCAGTTTGGAGCCCCTGCACTAAACCCCTAACCCAAACCCATAGCTTAGAATGCATAAAATTAACACTTCAGCTATTATAAAAACACTAAGTTAACCCATTCAGGAGCATACTTTCTTTATTGATCCTAAAGCATCAAGTACTTGTTTCTACCAGTCCTCAGCCAACATTGCTCTCCTGAACCATACAAGAAATTATATGAACCTATATCCTACATGCACACACATTTATAGAAGCAATAGGCAACTAGCCAAAAATTTTAAATTCTCTTGTAGCCTATTTTTTTTTTAATTTGTACAGCGCACTGGTATAGTGTGCATATAGAAAATAATCACCCCCCACCCCCTTATAAATAATCACATTTTGTTGCTTTGCAGCCTGAAATGAAGTCAGACACAGTTTTTGTTGTATCCAGCTGTATTTACTCAGTGCAACTTATTACATCCAAGTAAAAGATATAACACCAATGTCAGAAAAAAAATTTAAAACAGAATCACTGAATTGGAAAAAGGATCATCCCTCTCCTAAAAATGACTTGCAAACTCAATTAGGTGTAGCTAATCAAACAAAATGTGATTGTTTTAAAGGGAGTGAATCTGTTCTATACCCACTGTATCACAGTGCTTTACAGACTAAAGAAGCTATTCATATCAGTGCCTGCCCTGAAGGAGCATACAGTCTAACGTCCTATGGGTTCATGTTCACAGGATTTGTTTTCCTGCATTGGACATGTGTTTGGAGCACATCTCAAATGCAGGTCAGCAAAATCCTATTGACTTTATTTAAGCAGTGTATACTGTGGTTCAGAGGATTTGACATGCTTTCCATTGTGTTTCTTTAGAGGCAGTAGGTCATATTAAAAAGGAGAAGTTTAGGGTTTAAAAAATAAAAAAACATACATACTCCCTTCTATACTGCAACTGTCCCAAACCGATTCTAAGCCCAAGAACGGAGCGATCACATGTCCACTGATTGCTGAGTTACCAGTCCTCTCTGAGCAGAGAGCGGTGACTGTCAGTCACCGCTCTCTGCTCTGCCCTCCAGCACTCACTGGAGTGCCAGCAGGAGAGGGGCAGGTACAGCCAGTTGTCAACCAGGCAGCAATGTGGATCCAAACAATATGGTTGGTATCCTTCCACAGCCTGGAGCGGCTCTGTGACATATAAGTTTTAAATAGAGTAAACAATGTTTAAAATCCCTTGTGTCCTGCTGGGATAGTTTTCCCTCACTTCCTGCCCTGGAGACACAACAGAGGTGATTTCTTTAGAGATTTCCTTCCACTGTCTAGGACAGCTGTCATGGGACATGTGCCCCAATTGAACAATTTCCCATCTGTTGGTGATCCAGTGACAGCAGCTTTTTTTGGGGATTTGCAATCGCTTTCTATCCTGGTAGTCTTTAGCTTTAGAGGTATGTAATGTGCTCACAATAGGCATATGTGCAGGCAGCATAAACAATACTTACTGGCTAACTTTATGATACAGTTTAGCAATTCCCTGGTGGGTCCAGTCTTTTCCCAAAGTTGGCAAAATATGACCCAATGTATCTGACCTGAAAAGGTTAGGAAAAAGACACAAATTACGTCACATAGTTAACACATTTGGAAAAAATGTATTTGAGTTTTTTCATAATTTTCCTGTTGGCTCTGAGCCTGGAAACATATATATGAAATGGAAACAAAACACATTATTATTAGCATGTATACATATTAGGAAGAGGGGAAAAAAGCAAGCCATGATTGAGAAATGAGGAGATAATTGGAAAGTGAGTAAAGATGTCCACAGACACACCAAGTCTTCCAGTATGGCTGTTTGGAGTTGGATCAATGATGATCTAGTGCGGTGTTCCTCATCCTTTTTTCAGAAGGGCCACCCTTTAAAAAAGCATGCAAAATCTCAAGACACCCAAATCAAAAATATAAATGTTCCTCATCGATGGGAAACCTGAACCTGGGATGATGCACACAACCACCTTGATGAAATGAACACCAGAAGCACTCCTTCACATCTGAGTCCCCCATCTCATCAGAAACCTCTCTATACATCAGAGGCCCCCAATCACAGAGTACCCCACAATATGCAGTGTTCCCTCATCACATAGCCTCTCAAACCACACAGTCTCCTGTTCCGAGCTCTACATTTTGGCTCCATCAGCACGGCAAAGGGCAGGAGGAAGAGGACTTCTGTCCTCTCCTGAATGCTGGGCAGAGGCCTGCATACAACCTATCCTGGATCAGAGTAACACAATGCCGAAGAGCGGGTGAGACAGCCACCAACACCAACGCTATGCACCATGGCCCTAATGGTTGTTATGCTGCCGGAGGACAGCCTACCCACACCATGGCTACTGATGACGCTAATGCAGGGCAAACTGGGTCCTGTGCCTGCAGGACCATGGTTGAGAAACACTGATCTGGTGTCTATAGGACACCAAAAGATCTCGCTAGCTGAGGCTCAAGATCAAGCAATTAGTCAGAAAAAAACCTTGTCCGACTTGCTAGTGTTTTCTACTCAAGAAATCAGTGCTGGGGGTGTCTGCTTAACCAGCTTAATACTGGTCATTTAAAGACAGATAACTGAAGAAGGAATAAGGGCAATAAGATTGTAATACGGGGGGTCCACCATAATCCAAGCTGTAAACTTTCTGGGTGCAATAAAGAGAAACTCCCACAGCCAGAAGCAGTTGCATTAGCCCCTTAGAGATGCTGTTTCTGGACTGATCCATATCTGTGCTGCACAGATGATGCTCTTATTGTTTACATAATTAGCATGAAATGGACCTTGTTGGTCAGTCTAAGGAAACTACAACAGAAAAGGGTTAACATAGAGAAAAAGAAAAGCTCAGGGCAGGAAACCTAAAGACAGATATCAAAAGACTTAGTACAGGAGGGGGAAAGATGGCTACCAACAGCCTTCGGGCAAGAAGTGGAAGAATGTATACCAACAGGTTTAGGGCAGGAAGAGGAAAGATGAATACTAACAGGATTAGGGCAGAAAGAGGAAAGATGAATACTAACAGGATTAGGGCAGAAAGAGGCCAACAGGCTTAACGAACCAACAGGCTTAAGGGCAGGAAGAGGAAAGATGAATACTAACAGGAATAGGGCAGGAAGAGGAAAGAGGAACGCCAACAGGCTTAAAGGCAGGAAGAAGAAATATGGATACCAACAGGCATAGGGCAGAAAAAGGAAAGAGGAATACCAATAGACTTAGGTCAGCAAGAGGAAAGAGGAATTCCAAAAGACTAAGAGCAGGAAGAAGACATATGGATACCAACAAGTTTAGGGCAGGAAGAGGAAAGATGAATACTAACAGGATTAGGGTAGGAAAAGGAAAGAGGAACGCCAACAGGTTTAACACAAGAAGAAGAAATATGGATACCAACAGGTTTAGGACAGGAAAAGGAAAGATGAATACTAACAGGATTAGGGTAGGAAGAGGAAAGAGGAACGCCAACAGGATTAGGGCAGGAAGAGGAAAGAGGAACGCCAACAGGCTTAAGGCAGGAAGAAGAAATATGGATACCAACAGATTTAGGACAGGAAGAGGAAAGAGAAGCGCCAACAGGTTTAAAGGCAGGAAGAAGAAATATGGATACTAACAGGCATAGGGGAGAAAGAGGGATACCACCAGACTTAGGTCAGCAAAAGGGAAGAGGAATACCAACAGACCTAGGTCAGCAAGAGGAAAAAGGAATTCCAAAAGGCTAATAGCAGGAAGAGAAAAGATGGCTACCAGCAGGATTAGGGAAATAGAAGGAAAGATGGCTACCAGCAGGCTTAAGGAAATAGGAGAAAATGTGGATGCCAACAGGCTTTAGGAAGGAATAGGAAAGAATAAGGAAAATAGACGAGGAGAGAGAGGAGACGTGAAGGGAGGGTGAAAGAAAATGAGGGGCTGAGAGAATCTAGAGACAGGGACAGGGGGGAGAGAATAAGAGAAAAGGAAAGTGAAGGAAAAGGAGCATGGGTCAATGAACAATCATATTCTGCTAGCGTTCTATCGTTTATTGTAAAAATAAGCTTTCTGTCAGTCTAGGTTTGAATAGAAGCCCAGCACAACTTTCTACAGAGGCAATTAAACGAAGGAAAATGAAAGCAGCAAATTCTGCGCACTCTGCCTTTACCAGTAACTATTGTGCAACTCCAGAAAGAGCTCACCTCGTAATTGTTCCATCAATATCGGAAATGATGATTTTATCATCCCAGTTCCACAGGTAAATGGTGCCCTCACAGCGACATGTTCCCTGGTACTGAGTCGTAACGCTGAACACAACATCATTGGGGCCATTTTTCAGCTTCAGACTTTTCTGTAAAAACAGAAAATAATTATAGTATGAAATCCATTTGGCGCCCCTATTCAGCTGGAGGTATTTAATATCTTAGCAAATAGTAGGAAGAAATTATTTGCTAGGTTTCTCCTGCAAAACCAGTGTGCCAGAGATAAATGAAATGCAAACATAATGAACTATACAACCATTACCATATGTCACTTGATAGAGCTAATTAGAAATCTGTTTAAATAAAACTAAAGGTTTTTCTTTTATTATACACTCACAGAGTAATTTATTAGAAACACCGGCACATCTGCTTGTTCATGCAATTATCTAATAAGCCAATCGCAATGCATAAAATTATGCAGACACAGGTCAGGATCTTTAGGTATTGTTCATATCAATATCAGAAAACATTAAGGGAAGGTCCTTTAACTACTGTATAAAATATGAGAGAGCCAGGGATAAGGGAATGCTCAGATTCCTTATGTCATACAAACACTGAACCTAAGCCAGACCTCCCAAGGCAGTGCAATAATAGCATTAGGACCAGCACCAAAAAAGTTAAAGAAAATGGAATTCTGTAGAGGAAGATAAAATGGTCCCCATCTCCCACTGCACCCTTTAGGCATCCCCATTGTTTTACTATTGTTTATATTACCAGTGTTTTAAGATGAACAATCAAGTATTTAGCAGCTCCTATAAAACCTCCTTGTATTTTAGAATAGTCTTGCTGCAATACCAAATAGCACCAGCGATCTAATTTAGAGTGATTGTAAACCCATATATATATATATATATATATATATATATATATATATATATATATATATACACACACACACAGTTGTGTTCAAAATAATAGCAGTGTGTTGAAAAAAGTGAATAAAGCTCAAAATCCTTCTAATAGCTTTTATTTCCATACACACAAATGCATTGGGAACACTACACATTCTATTCCAAATCAAAACGTGAAGAAAAATATATCAAATTTGTGTTGCTCCTCTAAAAAAATTGAAGAAAAGTGAATATTAGACTGTTCAAAAAAATAGCAGTGTTTGCATTCTTCTTTACAAACTCAAACATTCACTATATAAACTGAAAAATGTTTGAAGATTTTGCTTTCCTTTGAATCACTTAATTAATATTTAGTTGTATAAGCACTGTTTCTGAGAACTGCTGTACATCTGTGTTGCATGGAGTCAACCAACTTCTGGCACCTGTGAACAGGTATTCCAGCCCAGGATGATTGGACTACATTCCACAGTTCTTCTCTATTTCTTGGTTTTGCCTCATAAACTGCATTTTTGATGTCATCCCACAAGTTTTCTATTGGATTAAGATCCGGGGATTGGGCTGGCCACTCCATAACGTCAATCTTGTTGGTCTGGAACCAAGATGTTGCACGTTTACTGGTGTGTTTGGGGTTGTTGTCTTGTTGGAACACCCATTTCAAGGGCATTTCCTCTTCAGCATAAGGCAGCATGACCTCTTCAAGTATTCTGATGTATTCAAACTGATCCATGATCCCTGGTATGTGATAAATAGGCCCAACACCGTAGTATGAGAAACATCCCCATATCATGATGCTTGCGCAACCATGCTTCACTGTCTTCACAGTGTACTGTGGTTTGAATTCAGTGTTTGGGGGTCATCTGACAAACTGTCTCCAGCCACTAGACCCAAAAAGAACAATCTTACTTTCATCAGTCCACAAAATGTTGCGCCATTTCTTTTTAGGCCAGTCAATGTGCTCTTTGGCAAATTGTAACCCCTTCAGCACGTCTTTTTTTCGACAGTGGGACTTTGCGGGGGCTTCTTGCAGATAGCTTGGCTTCACATAGGCGTCTTCTAATTGTAACAATACTCACAGGTAACTTTAGACCTTCTTTGATCTTCCTGGAGCTGATTGTTGGCTGAGTCCTTGCCATTTTGGCTATTCTTCTATCCATTCGAATGGTAGTTTTTTCGCTTTCTTCCACATCTTTCAGGTTTTGGTTGCCATTTTAAAGCATTTGCAATCATTTTGGCTGAGCAGCCTATCATTTTCTGCACTTCTTTATATGTTTTTCCCCTCTCCAATCAACTTTTTAATCAAGGTACGCTGCTCTTCTAAACAATGTCTGGAACGACCTATTTTCCTCAGAATTTCAGAGAGAAATGCACTGTAACCAGCATGTACAACATTTGCTGCCTGCCTTCCTTCCTTAAATAAGGGCAATAATTGCCACTTGTTTTTCAAAGAATGAATGACCTCACTAATAGAACTCCACACTGCTATTATTTTGAACATGCCCCTTTCAATTAGTGATTCAATTACACAGAATCAGCAGCATGCATGTCATGACTGTTGGGTCTGTTGGATTTCTATTACTCTACTACACCTGCTAGTAAATTATTTGCCATGTAGAAATATAATTTCTACCAAAAACAGTGACTGATCAGGTTAGTGATGTCTGACTGCTATTATTTTGAACACAACTGCTATTATTTTGAACACAATATATATATATATATCCAGAGAAATTACTGGTCTCAGGTGATACTCAGAGAGGAAACAAATCCTCCCACCCAAGTTGTACCTGTCTACCAGCAGTCATTTCTTCTCTACATCTGTTCAAAATGGTGAATGTATAAAGCTTGTATGAGAGTTCAGAAAAAAGGGGCAGAGAGCTGAAATTACACACTACAGAGCTTAATGAGAAGAGCTCTGAGAGCTGATTGGAGGGAAGGGGCACACCCCCTTCACACAACACACAGTAACAGAGCTGAGGCTGTCAAACTGCTGGAGGTACCTCTACTGTCACCTTTTTTTCTCTTGGTGTCAGGAAAACTTGTTAGAATTGACTAATGCAGATAGCTGAAGAACTGTGCAGTGGTTTGGCACAGAGCAGCCCTAATCGTCCTCTTTTTAGGTCCCCCACTGGCACTTCTGGCCCTACTTTCCTGCCAAGTCCCTTCAGAGCAAGCTACTTGCTTTGGAGGCACCCAAGCAGGCTCACTACTCTGTGTGTCCATTCACACACAGAGCCACGGCTCGGCTCTTCTCCCTCTCTCTCCTCATTGACTCACTGGCTGTGATTGACATCAGAGGGAGCCAATGGCCTCCCCAGCCTGGCACTTCAGTTGGTGCTGTGATGGAGGAGCAGAACAGAGAGCAGTGACTAACAGTCACTGCTTTCCACTCAGAGCAGACTGGGAACTGAGAGATCAGTGATCATGTGAGCCGGTGTGTGGGACAGCTCCATCTTGACAATGAAGCAGCAGCACAGAGGTTAGGATGAAGGCTTGTTTTTTTTTTTTTTTTTTGTTTTAGTCAACACATACTTCACCCTTAACCACTTCCCGTCCGGCCCATATATATATATATATATATATATATATATATATATATATATATATACACGGCTGGACGGGAGCAGTGCAGGGGAGGGTGGCCGTTTATAAACATCCTCCCCGCTTCCTGTTTATGCGTGCTCCGTGGGAGTACGCAGGACCGCGACCCGTTGCCTGCTGTGTCGAGAGGACACAGCGGAACACCGATCGTTGTACGGGACCTCTGTGTGAGGTCAAGATCATGTGATCACTGATTTGCCAATCAGTGATCACATGAAGAGTAGTAAGCAAGATGTCACTTCTGACATCATTGCTTACTATGTGTGAAATCTGTGAATGATCACAGAGATCACATGGTACAAGGCTATTCACAACAGCCTTGTATAATGTGACAATCTGTGACCAATCACAGCTCACACCGTATTCCTCAATGGCTGCAAGAATGCAGCCAGAGAGAAGGAGACAAGATTGTTTTTACAGCCTTTACGGGTGTAAAAGCAATCAGTGTAAAAAAAACAAAACCAAAAATCTTCATCACCCCCCACAAGTAGCACAGTGTCACTATGGTGACACTGTACTGCTAGGGTGACGGTATGTAAAAAAAAAAAAAAAAATATATAAAAAAAAAAATAAAAATGTAAAAAGAAAAATTATAATTTTGGGTTATAAACTAATTTGGGTTATTTTTTTTTGTTACAAAAAAAATTACTGAATACATTTTGACCAAGGTTTATAAAGAAAGATTATTTTCAAAATGTTCTAAGAAAAACACTTTTTTTCAAAATGTTTTAACTTTTTCATTTATATAGCAAAACAAAATCCCAGTGGTGAATAAATACCACCAAAATAAAGTTTTATCTGTCTCAAAAAAATGCTAAAAAATTCACATGGGTACAGTGTTGCATGACCGCGCAATTGTCACTCAAAGTGTGATAGCGCTGAAAGCTGAAAAACTGGCCTGGACAGGAAGGGGGTGAAAGTGTCCGGACTTGAAGTGGTTAAACTACCATTGGACCATGCTGCCAACTAAGTAAGCAACTTCACTGAAGATTTAATGAACAGCATTATTCATCATGAAAATCACATAGCAGACCAACAAAAAGAAATGGAGCATTTATTTGGTGTTTCGCTTGCAAATGCACAAAGGATGGTGTCTGCCTCTTCATAAATGTTTAATAATTCAGTCCTGCCATCTACTCCCCCTGTAAGCCATTAGTTTCTTTTTTTCATCTTTCACTTCAAACATTTCTTCTGAATCTCTCCCGCGCAGAGATACATTTCGTCTGATTTTGGCTCATTACTGGCCCGGGAGCCTTCTTCCAGACACACCAATTACACAATGGCAATACGACTAATGGATATCACTAATGCTCTCCCATCCAACATCAGACCAATTATATTCAGATTCTGCACACTCCTGTCAAAGTGTGATTCCTGTCTTGCTTCGCACACACAGTGTCAGGAATAATCACTTCTTTTGCTTTGTCTATGTATTTATATTGTTGCTTCATGCTTACTAATTGTTGGCATTGGTAAAAAAAAAACACAATCCAGTAAGATTTGCTAAGGAAAGGGGGCACAGTGTACTTACCATTAATTAGGCAGAATGTAATTATGGAGCAAAACACAAGTCTCACAGCCCCCTTGGAAACAATTGTGAGACCCCACTACACTGTTTATAATGCTTAGCAAATCTTTCATGGCTTTTCTGTAACACTGGATTTGGGCAGCAGATGGCACTGTATGCAAACCCAAGAAATGCAACTGGTGGTCCCAGTAATACACGAGGACTGGGTAGGACCTATAAGAGTACAAGACACATCCTGGAAAGTGAATTCTACCAATAAATGATCCTCAAGAGGAAAATGGATTTCTTTTAATATACACCTTGATTTAACTGTGGAATGAAACGCAGTATAGCTAAAATGATTTAAAGCGGAACTTCACTCTCTCAATCAACATGCACTATTTTTAATCCTTATGCTGCTAGCATTAGTAAATAGATAGAAAAGTATATCATAATTACTTGTTTTAACCTTTTTTTTTACATTTCTTCAGTTACTTCCTGTTTTTTTTTTGCCTAGGCAAATTACGTCATAAATCCCAGGAGTGTTTTGGAAGGGAGCATGAGTTTTCTCAGCTAAGCACACCCTCCTGCCTGCATTCCTAAGTGCAGATGGCTTCCAGGAAGCAAATGTTACATGAATTATCTGCCCTTACACAAGATGGCCATGACCAGAAATGTTAGGGGGATAGTTTTGAAAATTATTTCTTACCAAAACAAAGCATGGAGACATGGATGGATGGGGGAGTTTGTTTTGAATATTAAAATGATATCAAATAGCGTTTTTGGTTTGTGGTGCTGAGATGCCAGTGTAGATCCACTTTAAGTACTACTATTTTATTTATATTGGGTGCAAAGTAAAGCCATCATTCCTGTTATTACCCATCAAAAACTACTGGGTTTTGGGAATCTATTTGGGTGAAAATGGAAAGCTGTCCTGACACTACAGGCACAGACCATAAGCAAAGCTCACAACACTGATTGTAGAGATATAATTTTGTAGAAAAAAGACCGCCATGGGTGATTAGCCATTTGTGACAATTCACCCACTGAGTTAAAAAAATCAAGAATTGTAATAACTCCGCAGCTGGCTGGAGTAGGTCTTGTCCTTAAAGTACCATGGGTGATCCAAGGGGGCTGCACAGGCACACAGGGATTGGTCTGGTTAGCGATGAGTCAATTAAAGTTGAACTAAAAGCAAAGCTTTTTTTTTTCGGATTAAGTAAGGGAGGGTTATGACCTCAGATTTATTTTTCGCTAATTGAATCAGATTAGATTTATCTTTCCATCTGTGTCCCATGAGGGAGATTTCCTATCACTTCCTGTCACATATCCAAAACTGGAAATGAGGAGAAATCCTTCCAAAGTGAGGAAATAACTGGTTGTCACCAGAACGATTGTCCCAAATGGAAGATTTCCCCTATATTACTCTTCTGGCGACAACCCAAAATTTGGGATTTATTTTCACTTTCACTTCCGGTGATAAATCAGGAAAAACACAGAGGGTGAGTCTACCTAATGGACACAGACAGCAATAAAAACCTGACAGGTGTTCTAATCCCTCTCCACTCTATCCAAAACTAAAAAAAAAGTTTTGCCTTTAGTTATACTTTCATTTGTAAATTAGCTAAAGCAGCAATTTTTTTTAATTATAAACATGGGTAGCATGGTGCAGCGCTAAAGAAATTAAACTGAAAACAGTAAGAAGTCAGTGTAATAATATCCGTGGTTTCCTTTAAAAGGGTGCAAACTTCCAAAGCTCTTGCGGCCTCAAATAATAGCAATGCGCACTCACCAGAAATGCATGGGTTATGCGCATGTAGTAATAATCATTCCAGATGTCAGATCCTTCAAACATCAGATGGCAGGCATCCCTCTCCCGGTGGGTCACCGAAAGCTCCAAATTGGATCCTGAGGTCCCCTTTAAGGTCAATCAGGCACTCCACACTGGTGGAGGCTGTACAGCCTCCCCTCTGATGATGTGCCTATAGCACGAAAGGCCTAAGGAGGAGCTGTGCAGAGCGTGACGTCATTTGAACCGCCGGAGCCACGAGGAGGCTCGGCGGACATCTTTACTAGGGTCAGTATTGCTACTTTCCTATTCTTTAACCTTTTATGGGTCTGGATCTGCATGCTACCCTGTATTTTATGCTGAAGCAAATACATTTTTCCTAAACATACTACACTATCTCTGGCACCTGTTTTTTCTGGGGCTCCTTTGTGGAGCTGTTACCCCCACAGAGAAGGTGCCTGTACCATTCAGAGGAGAGAGTTTCACCACCAGTGTGGAGTGCCTGATTGACCTTAAAGGGGACCTCAGGATCCAATTTGGAGCTTTCGGTGACCCACCGGGAGAGGGATGCCTGCCATCTGATGTTTGAAGGATCTGACATCTGGAATGATTATTCCTACATGCGCATAACCCATGCGTTTCTGGTGAGTGCGCATTGCTATTATTTGAGGCCGCAAGAGCTTTGGAAGTTTGCACCCTTTTAAAGGAAACCACGGATATTATTACACTGACTTCTTACTGTTTTCAGTTTAATTTCTTTAGCGCTGCACCATACTACCCATGTTTATATTTTGCATTTAGAGGCATTGTGGTTGCCTTAGGTGTTCTAGCTGCTGTGTTTATACAAGAGCGCTCACTGCAATCCACTTTTGATTTTGGCAATTTTTTTAATTGCTTGAATATATGTTTGCAGACTTTTACATGTTTAGTACAATGGCCATTGTAAATAACTTGTAAATGAAAGGAAAACTAACATATACTGATCTCTGTGCAATGAATAAAGCTGGCCATAAAGGTATCAACATTTGGACGGTTCAGCAGGGATTGAACGAATTTCTGACCCATATATTTCTGTTCCCACTCAAGAGAAGTCTAATGATCGACTTCTTTAGAACAGGACTGTTGGAAAAACGTCATTCGATCAGTGCCTGTAGCCGATGATCAGTGTATTTTGACAGCAGAGGGAGTTAATTCTGTCAGAATACAATAGCACAGCAGGGAGGAATTATTTCTTTTTTTTATTACCGTATATATATCAGCTTGCTGGTTGATCAAAAAAAAAAAACCGATCCGTGTATTGCCAGCCTTAGATAACACTCTGATCTGAGATGCTCGGACTGCATTGCTATCTATTTCCATTTAGATTCTAATGCTCTCCTGTGCAGAGACGTATAGATGTGGAACTCACAAGCTGGTCAGAGGTCAACCGCAGTGTCTTCTTATACGCAATACCCGATGACGAAAGATGACTCTGGCTGGACTGCAGAGAGCCTATGTTCTGCTTGGCTGCCCTGTGATCGTCGTCGCTGGAAGAAGACTCATCCTTTATTCTGGAACAAACACAGGAAGATTACGTGATGAACCGGAAAAATGCATTTGGCTGCCGGCTCAATAGATACATTTGCTATGAATGGCTGAGTGCATTAATTGATTGTCTTTTGAAACACAAGTCTCCAGGGAGGAGATGGAAAACCTGCATGTTAAAGTATCAATGAGATATTTGTGCTCAATGCTTCATTCATATCTTCCATTGAGAATATCATTTCCAATAATACTCAGCACTCTGCTAAGAGAGACATGGCAGGATGAGATTTGGAATCATGGGTAAAAATAGCAATGTCTCAGCTCTTATCATGTTACATACATTAACATTAGGGTTTCAAAGTGAGCTTAATGCAGTGGCCAGAATAGATTGCAGAAGGCCCCCACGGACTGAAGTGGTCTTCAATAATGTGTATGCCTTCCAGCTATCATACCACCTGATTACGGTCTAGGTATGAAATATACCATATAGACCGCACATAAATGGTGTGAGACACAGAACAGTTAATTATATTAATATTCATAATAACCAATACACATCTATAAAAAACTTTTAGTGCAGTCCCAGTATGTGCAAATAAAGTGCAAACGTGCTGAATCCTTGATAGTGAACTCTGTATTATGGTGACAAGCGCTTCACTTTGCTCAGACTGGTGCCCCACATGGATTTACACTCACCGTCATTCCATGACCACCTATCTCTAGGTATGTCACTATCGCTTTAATTGGGACTATCCCAAAATGCCACATGTTGGTGCTCTTTCCTGTATGTTCCATGACGTTGCTACTGGTAACCAGTGTGTTATCCCTGGGTCAGGGGGAAAGTGATAACCAGTAATCCTTCCCTAGGGCTAGTTTGATACTAGCACTACTCCACAAGCAATGTAGTATGTTGTCAGCATAGAAATACAATAAAAAAATGGACATTCCATAGTGTAAAACTGTACACTTTTAATATTGGGGATAAATAGTTGAAATAAAACTCACAAAATAAGTGCCTAACCCTCAGCACTTAATGTGTTCAGCTCTGTTCATTTGTATTGGAAGAAAATGATGGCCGATGCGTTCCAAGGGGCGGAAGTTACCTCATCAAACCTCAACGCCTTTCGACCAATAGATCGTCATCAGGAAGTGACACTTCTGACATGTCTGTTTTTTTATTTTTTTTTCTATGCTGACAACATACTACATTGCTTGTGGAGGAGAGGACTAGTGCTACTATCAAACTAGTCCCAGAGAAGGATTACTGGTTATCACTTACCACTTGACCCGGTGATAACACACTGGTTACCAGTAGCAACGTCGTGGAACATACAGGAAAAAGCACCAACATGTGGCATTTTGGGATAGACCCAATTAAAGCGCTAGTGACCTACCTAGAGATAGGTGGTCATGGAATCACAGTGAGTATAAATCCATGTGGGGCATCAGTCTGAGCAAAGTGAAGCACTTGTCACCTCAATACGGAGTTTACTATCAAGGATTCAGCACGTTTGCACTTTATTTGCACATACTGGGACTGCACTAAAGGTTTTTTTTATAGATGTGTATTGGTTATTATGAATATAATTAACTGTTCTGTGTCTCACACCATTTATGCGCGGTCTATATGGTATATTTTGTAACTTTGTGTCTATTAGTTCACAATTAGGACTGCTGCATCACACGGTTATTTTGTACACAGGTTTATTTCATAAGCTGCATTTTTGCAATTTTCACTAGGTCTAGGTATGGACTTCCCTTCCAGCAAAAAAGGATTCATAGAGGCACAACCCCTATGAATACGTGCTATTGCACAAACGCGTCAGGGAGGAGCTATAGCGTTGTGACGTCACGCCGCCAGCACCACGTGGGTCCCGGCGGCCATCTTTGGAGCCTGTATCTGGTCAGTTAATGCGGTTTTATCCCTTACTGCTGTTGTTATTTGGAATAAACACAAATCACTTATGAAACGATATCACGCTATTGGCCTCCTCTTTCTGGGGCTCCCTGGGAGTTTCTAACCACCCACAGAGCGGCTGTGCCATTGCTGACAGCGGATCTTGAGCAGTGAAGGACGTCAGACCAGACCAGACTTTTTCCACCTTAAAAGGACCTCCAGGTTACTGAGAGTGTTATCTCTAAATGCGCACATTGATTGCGCATCTGGTGAGTGCGCAGTCTTTACAATCTTGGCCACATCACCACCTTACTGGATAAGACCACCAGATATTGAAGATCTTCACGATCTCCCATGCACTTTATTTTGGACTATATGTTGATCATCAATTCTTAGCACTATATACACTATTGGTCACTGTTTAGTGACAAACTTTTATTACCATTCAGCCATCTTATTCAATTGTCAGCACTTTACCACTGGTTTCACTTTTATACCTGTTTGCTTTATCTTAATACTATATATATTTGATCAGAGTGACACGATTTTATGGTACCACTAAGTCACTTTATTGTTGCCAGCACCTTGTCACTTGTCATTTTACGGTTTTATTAGTATTTATATCTATTATGGTTTACATATGAATGTGGTTATTTTAGCGCTACACCCAATTTATATAGACATTTAGGAGGGTTTTTTTGGTATCATTTGGTGTTTTAGCGGCTGTATTGACTTTTAGCGCTCACTTACCCCCTTTTTGTGCTATATCAAAAAAGGATTCTCACTTTCTTTATGGAAGTGGACCTCCTTTAAAAAGGCATACTCAAGTAAAAAAAAAAAAAAAAAAAAACATATTAAGCCATGGAAGGCATATATTGTAGGAAGCACAGCCTACCTGCTTAGAGCTACAGTTCCATCCAGGTATGACTCTAATGAACTATCCCAACCACTACCTACTGTCTGCAGACCCGCTTTGATGAAAAAAAGCAGAAGACTTATTTCCAAACACACATGCTGTAAACTCTTGTCTCTCACCTACTAAAATAATAGATGTACACTGCTGTTTCAGATCCATCCTTCCAATTACATTTTTGTAAACAAAATAACAGGCTGTGTGGAACATATAGGCAGAGGACCACAGAGTAACTATGCAGAAACCTTTTGTTTTGTTTCCTAGTGTATACTCTTCACTAAGCCTGGGACAAGTTGACATCAGGGATGCACCCATTTTAAGTGAACCCCATGGCAAGGATATGGAAATTAACCATTTACATATTACTAAAAATCAACAAACAAGACCTAACTAACGTCTGCAGCTGCAGCCACTGTGGAGCAATTCATTTTCAAATCTTAAATCTGAAGCAATAAAGTTGTTCAAGTTGTCATTTCCCTGCTCTTCCTCCCAGCAGTGACTCAGCAGCCTTCAAATCTTTAATGTACATGCAGAGAAGGTGCTCTTGAAGGAGGAAGAAGTGAACCAAGCAGCAGGGAGAAAAACCTGAATGACTTCAGTACATTTTGAGGATGAAAATACACAAGTGTGCAATCACCCATGGCACCAATCATTTATCAAAGAGTGCAAACCGCAAGACAGTCATTTTGGCACTGAGCCATTTGGATCCATGCACCCACTTAGTCCCAGAAACTGGCACTCTCAGAACTATGCGCACATGCACTCCTCCGAGTATACATTTGAGATCAGCCGGCTGTGAGGTCGCAGAGTCACTGCTGAGAAGGGGGAGCAGAAAGAGACGAGCTGCTGAAAGAACGACTTGAAGAGCTTTAGGACGGGTAATCAGACCAGTCCTTTGCTCTGAGCTGCTGTCTTCTGCATGTAACCCAGCCTTGGAGTTGCGTGCAGGCAGCCTATAGAAGTGGATGCACATGCAACGGCCGCATGAACACAATCACAAGTCTAAATTTGACATGCAGGCAGGAGCAGGTGAATGGATCCAATGCACACTGTCTGCATTCGGAGTGTGCACCTGCTTCTTCCTGCAAGTCAAATTTTGTGTCTGTGCAGCCGCTGAATTTGCATCCATGTCTATGGGCTGCTTGCACACAGCTCTGATGCAGATTCAAAGGCAGCAGACAGTAGCTCAGATCTAAGGATGGGTTTGATCATCTGTCTGAATGAACCCTTCTTGATTCTGCTGTGAACTTTGAGCATGATTTGTTTCACAGTGCCTGCCTACAGAGATCAGTGAGGGCCTAATATAAAAGCCAATTTACTGCATGTTAATAATCTATAAATACTTTAATGTCCATATGTTCATTTATGGGTTCGCTTTAATACACAGCAAGCTGCCCTACTGCATTCTGCCTTCCCTTTCTTAAAAAAAAAAAAAAGAAAAAAAAAAAACCATGATGGGGAGAATCAAGAGTACAGAGTCATATTAACAAGCCCTTAAACAGGAACTGTACTGACATGCGCAGACTAGTTTTACTACGTGTGTTTGTACTATGAACACATTGGGGGCGATTTACTAAAATGTTCACTTTGCAAGGGAATTCGTTTACAATTGTAGAGGATAAATTCATTTACAAAGTGAACAGCCTATATGCCTTTAACAAATCAACCCCAATAGGTGTTTTTTACTGACCTTTTTTCCATGCTGCTGTCATCACCCTGTTCGCCAATGTAAAGTCCTTTTCCGCTCAAGCCTTGCTCTGCTTTAGACTCCTAATAAAATGAATGGTTCGGCTAGTTATTATATATGGTTGGGGAAGTGTGCGCGTTAATGTAGTTCAAGGTGCCGAAGGCATTATCTGTATTCCAGATGTCAAATTCTTTACGGGTCAAAGCAGAGCTTTAAAACAGGTATAGCACAACGCATAACAAAGGAAATGAAAAGGAAGGTGGTGGAAGATGTGGATTCATTTTGTACAGAATAGGATTGGGAAATTACAAACACAGATTTTCACAATCCCAGGCAGAGAAGGCCAGCTAATTGAAGCTGTATTTCTAGTACTGGAGTACCGCGGTCACTACTGAACAAGAGCTATCTGCATGCAGCTTGCATGTCCCTCTATGTTTGTGAGGGTTTACCATGTAACATGCTGCAGGAGGCAATCTTATCCTTTAAAAAGGGGGGTCCCATGATGATCTTGCATTTTATCATACTTGCCAACTGTCCCGGATTTGCTGGGATAGTCACATTTTTTTCACTAAGCTGTCTAAGGATGGGCCGGGCAGCATCCCAGAACCTGTACTGTGCCCTCTTGTTCCCAGTATTGTACCATCCTGACTCCTCCCTCTACTGTGCACACTTCTGCTACCCCCCCCCCCCCCCCCCTCAAGTCCTGTGTCCTTTATGTAGATAAGCCTTTGAGTGATAGCATTTTTTTTTATTGATTAAAATACATTTTATTGAAAGTACTAATAAATATGTGTGCTCCCCACAGCCACCCCTCCATTCTCGTGTGCACTCCTGAACGCCCGATCGGTTTGCAACAAGCTCACTGCCATTCATGACCTCTTTATCTCCCGCTCCCTCAACCTCCTAGCGGTCACCGAAACCTGGATCCAAGCCACTGACTCTTCCTCCCCTGCGGCACTCTCCTATGGAGGTCTCGTCTGGACCCATTCACCCAGACCGAGTGGTCGCAGAGGTGGTGGGGTCGGCATGCTCTAGTCACCGCTGAGCACCTTCCAGGTCCTCCCAAACCCCCCCTCTCTATCCTTCTCCTCCTTTGGGGCCCACTGCGTCCGGCTATTCTCTCCCACCCCTCTGAGGATTGCAGTAATCTATCGGCTCCTGGACCCGTATCCCGCTTCCTCGACAATTTCTCCGCCTGGTTACCCTTCTTCCTCTTTTCAGAACTGCCCACCATCATCCTTGGAGACTTCAATATCCCCATCAACGTCAATAACCTGGCTACATCCCAACTCCTCCACCTAACCTCTTTTGCACTCACACAGTGTACACAGTCCTCCACCCACTCCAACGGGAACCTCCTGGACCTTGTTTTCTCTCATCTCTGTATCCCCCACAACCTCACAAACACCCCTTTCCCTCTCTCTGACCACAACCTCATTACGTTCTCTGTCTCCCCATCCTCAAACACCTCCCCCCCAAACGTCAAACCATCACCAGCCGTAACCTCCGCAACCTGAACCCTGCCCCTCTCCACTCTGCAGCTGACCGACTTTATGACAATATCCTTCCACTGTCCTGCCCTGACCTGGCCACTACTGCATATAACAACTCGCTCTCAGCCACCATAGACTCCTTAGCACCCCTAACCACACATAGCATTAGACCCCGACCGCTTCAGCCCTGGCAGGATGACTACACCAAGAATCTTAAGTCGTGCGCTGGAACGATTATGGCGCAAAACCAGATCCCAACAAGCGTTCACCCTATACAAAACTGCCGTCCTCACCTACACCTCCTCCTCCATGCTGCCAAACAAGCCTACTTTGTAACCCTCATCAATACCCTCTCCTCCAGTCCTCACCGGCTCTTCTCCACTTTTAACTCCCTACTCTCTCCCCCCCCCCCTCCACCAAGTACCTCACTCACCCCCCTCGAGATTGCTAACCACTTCCAAAACAAGATCGACGCAATCCGTAGGACATTGCCAATGCTCAGACTTCCACCCCACCTAGCCTCCCTCCCATGATAACCCCTTCAACACTCCCCTCCTCTGACCTCGCAACTGCCCAGACCCCCACCCAACATCCCGCACACTCAAACGCCCCCAACACTCCACTCCTTCGACCTTGCTACCACTGAAGAGGTCACTAAGGTCTTCTCCGAAGCCCGCCTCACCACCTGCCCCCTTGACCCTGTCCCGACACAACTCCTACGGTCACCCTCCTCCTCCATCCTACCATCCCTCACCCACATATTTAATCTCTCCCTCTCTGCTGGCGCATTCCCCTCCCCCCTAAAGCATGCGCACATCACCCCCATACTCAAAAATCCCTCCCTGGACCCCACCGACCTGAACAACCTTAGACCCATCTCCTTGCTGCCATTTACATCCAAACTCCTTGAGCGCTTAGTCTATAATCGCCTAAGCTCCCACCTCAACGACAACAACCTCCTTGATCCCCTACAGTCTGGCTTCTGTCCCCTACACTCCACCGAAAACTGCCCTACTCAAACTCACCAACGACCTTCTAACCGGCAAAGCTAATGGCCACTACTCAGTCCTCCTACTCCTCGACCTCTCAGCGGCCTTTGACACAGTTGACCACCCCCTCCTCCTTAAAGAACTACACTCCCTCGGCATCAGAGACTCCGCTCTCTCCTGGCTCTCCTCCTATCTATCCCAGTGCTCCTTCAACTTTACCTATAACGCTGCCACCTCCCCCCCCCTCCCCCTCTCTGTTAGGGTCCCCCAAGGCTCTGTTCTTGGGCCCCTTCTCTTCTCCATCTACACCTCCTCCCTTGGCCAACTTATACACTCCCACAGCTTCAACTATCACCTCTATGCTGATGAAACGCAAATTTACCTCTCCACCCCTCGCCTCACCCCTTCAGTCTCTGCCCGTATCACCCACCTACTGAACGACATATCAGACTGGATGTCACTCCACTTCCTCAAATTAAACCTTTCCAAAACCGAGCTCCTAGATTTCCCCCCCAACCTCTCCATCACGACCAATAATGCCACCATCAGTCCCACCCTGCAAGCCAAAGTTCTAGGTGTCACTCTAGACTCCAATCTATCGTTCCAGCCCCATGTCCAATCGCTGGCAGATTCATGCAGGCTCCACCTCCGCAACATCTCCAAAATACGCTTGTTCCTAACCCCAGACACTACTAAACAACTCATTCACTCCCTTATTATCTCACGACTCGACTACTGCAACTCCCTCCTCACCGGCCTACCTCAACACAGACTCTCCCCGCTTCAGTCTATCCTGAACTCAGCGGCTAGACCAGGGGTGGGCAAACTTTTTGACTTGAGGGCCGCAATGGGTTCATATATTGGACCCGGGGGCCGGACTAGCTGCTGGCCGGCCCAGCCACTACCATGCCATCCATAGTAAGTATAGTAATATTCCCCCATAGTAAGCATAGTAATTCATCCCCCATATATAATTCATCCCCCATAGTAATTCATCCCCCATATAGTAATTCACCCCCCATATAGTAATTCACCCCCCTATAGTAATTCATCCCCCTATAGTAATTCCCCCCATATAGTAATTCATCCCCCATATAGTAATTCATCCCCCATATAGTAATTCATCCCCCATATAGTAATTCATCCCCCCTATATGGTAATTCATCCCCCATAGTAATTCATCCCCCATATAGTAATTCATCCCCCATATAGTTCATCCCCCTATAGTAATTCATCCCCCTATAGTAATTCATCCCCCATATAGTAATTCATCCCCCATATAGTAATTCAATTAGTAATTCATCCCCCCTATAGTAATTCATTCCCCATATTGTGTCAATTCACTTACCTTTGCTCCGCGCGTTCCTCTCGCCGTGTTCCCACGCCGTTCCGGTCTTCAGGGCGGACTGTGAGAGGAGTTCGTCACGCTGCCCCGCCTACATCCTGACAGCCAATGTTTGCCACGCTCCGTGGGCCAGATTAAAAGGTCTGCCGGGCCGTATACGGCCCGCGGGCCGTAGTTTGCCCATTGCTGGGCTAGACTCATCCACCTTACCAATCGCTCCGTATCCGCCACCCCCCTCTGTCATTCCCTCCACTGGCTTCCGATTGCCCAACGTATAAAATTCAAACTACTAACACTTCCGTACAAAGCTATTCATAACACTGCCCCAAACTACTCACTGACCTGATATCCAAATACCACCCAACACGTACTCTTCGCTCCTCACAAGACCTCCTACTCTCCAGTTCCTTGGTCTCCTCCTCCCATGCCCGACTTCAGGACGTCTCCAGGTCTTCCCCCATCCTCTGGAACTCACTACCCCAATCCATCAGACTGTCATATACCCTCCTCACCTTTAGGTGCACCCTGAAAACCCATCTCTTTAGGGAAGCCTACCCCGGCCTCACCTAACAGCCGATCTCCTCCTACCACTCTATCCCCTATAGCCATTTCCTCCTGTACCACTATCCCCTCCCTCCTAGATTGTAAGCTCCAAGGAGCAGGGCCCTCGAACCCCTCGTGTATTGTATTGGATTGTATTGTTACTGTATTGTCTCATGTACTGTCCCCCAGTATAATGTACAGCGCTGAGCAAACTTTTTGGCGCTATATAAATACTGTATAATAATAATATATGTTTAATTCTATCAGCTATCTATACTTTAATTCTAGAGAGAAGGTGCGCAAATTGGGGCAGGCTGGTAGGGTCCCCAGTGCACTACTTTGCCCAGGGGCCCATGATGCTATTAAGACAGCCCTGGTTTTAACCCTTCCCTACTCTATCAAAACTTAAAAACTGGAGCTGTAGAGTGTCACCAACATCAATAAAGTGTTGAAGAATAACCAATTGATCTGTCTGTGCCTACAGCAGTCCACTTTACTGAGCCTGGACTTGAAGACTCGGCACTTTCATACACAAGGCTTTTCATGTTTGACAAATTCAGCCCTTCATGATTGGAGCTGTTGTCAGGATTTGATGAACTTTTTGACAACTGTACTTTGGTTTTTAGCTTTTTTTTCCCCATTTAGAATGCTGGGCACAACTAAAAATAAGTCTCTATTCTATCTTGCATAATGGTTGCAGCTTACAAAGATGATTAGACAAGAAATACGTTCATATTAGATACAAAACAAAGCTATTTATAATCTCTTTCACCAGCTGTTACAGTGATCACAAGACCGGCAATTAACCAAAATGGCTACTGGTCATTATTATAGGGCCACAGCTGTCTATTAACAATAAGTCCTAAATGCACATTTGGAAGCCCCCCCCCCCCCCCCAAAAAAAAAAAATCACAGACACACAAACACACACTATATATATATATATATATATATATATATATATATATATATATATATATATATATATATATATATATTGGTCGACCTTGAAGTAGAAAAGTATTCAGTATTCTTATAATGACAGAAGTACCTGGCCTGCCATTGCTGACTCTCTTCTGAAAATGCTCACTGCCTGGCTGTTATGCTGAACAACCACCTTTCTGACCTAGTACAAGCATATAGATCATGACATAAATGAAAGACTTCTGCAAGAAAACAGAATGCATCAACTCCTTCCGAATTCTCTGACTCCAAAGCAGAGATACAGAACCAAACAGGAACATGGAGTCCGCAGGAGTAATACACTAAATGGGTGGTTTATTCAAAGATCCACATACTGCAGTAAGAATTCCTTTAAGTATTCCACACTACAGCACTTTTCCTATAAGGCTAATACAGTGCCTTGAAAAAAGCATTCATACCCCTTGAAATTTTCCACATTTTGTCATGGTACAACCAAAAATGTAAATGTATTCTATAGGGATTTTATGTTATAGGCAAACACAAAGTGGCAAATAATTGTGAAGTGGAAGGAAAATAAATGGTTTTCAACATTTGTGACAAATAAATATCTGAAAAGTGTGGCGTGCATTTGTTTTCAGTCCCCCTTTACTCTGATACCCCTAACTAAAATCTAGTGGAACCAACTGCCTTCAGAAGTCACCCAATTAGTAAATAGAGCGTGTAATTTAATCTCAGTATAAATACAGCTGTTCTGTGAAGCCCTCAGAGGTTTTTTATTTATTTATTTCAGGTACTTATATAGTGCCATTAATTTACGCAGCGCTTTACATATATATATATTGTACATTCACATCAGTCCCTAACCCTCAAGGGGTGTACAATCTAAGGTCCCTAAATCACATTCATATTTACACATACTATGGACAATTTAAACAGGATCCAATTAACCTACTGCATGTCTTTGGTGTGTGGGAGGAAACCGGAGTATCCAGAGGAAACCCACGCAGGCACAGGGAGAACATGCAAACAGGCAGAAGTGCTAACCACTAAGCCACTGTGCCGCCCCGTTTTTTAGAGAACATTAGTGAAAAAACAGCATCATGAAGGCCAAGAAACACACCAGACAGGTCAGGGATAAAGTTGTGGAGAAGTTTAAAGCAGGGTTAGGTTATAAAAAGCACTGTTCAATCCATCATCCGAAAATGGAAAGAGTATGGCACAGCTGCAAACCTACCAAGACATGGCTGTCCACCTAAACAGACAGGCTGGGCAAGGACAGCATTAATCAGAGAAGCAGCCAGGAGGCCCATGGTAACTCTGGAGATGCATAAGATCCACAGCTCAGTAGGAGAATCTGTCCACAGGACAACTATTAGTCGTGCACTCCACAAATCTGACCTTTATGGAAGAGTGGCAACAAGAAAGCCATTGTTGAAAGAAAGCCACAAGAAGTCCCGTTTGCAGTTTGCGAGAAGCCAAGTGGGGGACACAGCAAACATGTGGAAGAAGGTGCTCTGGTCAGATGAGACCAAAATTGAACTTTTTAGTCTAAAAACAAAACGCTATGTGTGGCAGAAGACTAGCATTGCATATCACCCTGAACACACCATCCCCACCGTGAAACATGGTGGAGGCAGCATCATGTAAGGATGCTTTTCTTCAGCAGGGACAACAAAGTTGGTCAGAGTTGATGGGAAGATGGATGCAGCCATATACACGCAATCTTAGAAGAAAACCTGTTAGAGTCTGCAAAGACTTGACACATTTGGCGGAGGTTCACATTCCAGCAGGACAACGACCCTAAACATACAGCCAGAGCTACAATGGAATGGTTTGGATCAAAGCATATTCATGTGTTAGAATGGTCCAGTCAAAGTCCAGACCTAAATCCAACTGAGAATCTGTAGCAAGACTTGAAATTTCTGTTCACAGACGCTCCCCATCCAATATGACAGAGCTTGAGCTATTTTGCAAAGAAGAATGGGCAAAAAAATTTTCTCTCTAGATGTGCAAAGCTGGTAGAGACATCCCTAAAAAGACTTGCAGCTGTAATTGCAGCAAAAGGTGGTTCTGCAAAGTACTGACTCTGGGGGGCTGAATACAAATGCAAGACACACTTTTCACATATTTAATTGATTCAAATTTTGAAAACGATTTATCATTTTCCTTCCACTTCACAATTATGTGCCACTTTGTGTTGGTCTATCACATAAAATCCCAATAAAATACATTTACGTTTTTGGTTGTAACATGACATATGGAAAATTTCAAGGGGTATGAATACTTTTTCAAGGCACTGTACTTATCTCATGATCTGCGGTTAAGACATCCTTACTGCTGTATGTGCATTTTTGAATAAACCTCCCATTTCCAATTTTGCAGACTCCTGCTTTCCTGTTTGATGCAGAACTAAAAAGTTAGAAAAAAAAATACTTATCTGTATACATGCTTTGGGTCAGTGATTCAAGGTATTAAACTACTAAATCAGCATGACAGCCAGGCAACCTGCATTTTCAGAAGAGGAGGTAAGCAATGGCAGCCTAGAGGTTTCCCTTATGCCATGCTTCCTTTAAATCCCAACTACTGACTGCTTGTGTAGTCTACGGGGAGAGTTAAAAGACCTTTTGCCTACCCAATCCTCTGCTCCCCTGGCAGAAGGGGCTTCCCCATGCTCCAGCAGTGGACTGTTCCTCGGCATCAACTTGCTCAATGCAGAGCTATGCACCCTGCACCGGACTTGATGAAGTCAGGATCTTAAATAGCTGGTGCATGGGGGAAAGGACACTGCAGGGACTGCTCTAGCAGCACAGACGATCAGGCAAGTACATTTTCCTTTTTATGACCCCTCGACCTAAAGGAGCAGTTAACCCTTGCAGCATAGGTGCAGTCCCACGGCAAGAGATAGAACTTTTATGTTTCCCAGGGTCTGACTTTAAGGTGTATGTAAACCCTCACCTTGTAAAACAACCCATTCAACTTAAAATAGAAATGAAAGGCAAAAAATGTATATATACACATAAAAAAATATTATAAATACCTTTTTAATAAGTGATCACATACTCTCTGTTCTCGGCTACACAGGGAGCTCTGAGAGGTGGGAGAGGACAAACAGCAGGACAATGATCTTCCCAGTGAATGGCTGTGCAAGGGAGGCATGTCAGCACAAGTGTAATCACTGGAGGAAAGGAGGTTGGGTTCCCAGAACAACCTGAAATCTGAACACACTGTGCTCTCATGCCTGCTGTGGTCAGTTTTTAATAGGAGAACAAGGGGACTGGTGGGATCACCAAGTATTTCACACAAAGGAAGCAATACAGAGAACAGAATACTTTTTCATACAAGTACATGGTGCAGCAAACATATATCAGGAATATGAAATGTTGGGGGTAACATTCTTTAAAAGGATAAGTTCACATTTCATAACATATTACACCCATATTCTTGGGTGTAGCATGTTATGAATAGACTGGCCTCCGCTGCAATCCCCTCCTCCCGCTTTGACAGCTAGCTGTCAAAATATTTAAAAAAAATGCGGCCATGAGGTGCTCCATCCGCCCAGCTGCGTCACTCATTCACAGCCCTCTGTGAATGAGAAACTACAAGTCCCGACAGCCTTAGCAGCTGTTGGCTTGTAGTTCTCAATGAACTACCATGGCGTTGTGGAGCACTGTGGTAGTTTATTGATTCTTCCTGTCAGTATATCTGCTTCCCGGTATGTCACGTATGGGCAAGCAGATATACCGACAGGTATGCAGGAGACCTGCATGGCACCAGTGATCTGCTGATCGCTGATACAATGGTTTACAGGCTCCTGCACCAAAAATTAATAAGTGCACATTTTTTTTTTTTTTGCCTGCAAAAAAAAAATGTGCATTTATTATTTTTTTTAGTAAAAGATGAACTTCTCCTTTAAGGCCTAAACAGCTTAGTCAGGTATATCATATAATCTATTTAAGGCACAAGACATGAAAAGGCATTGTGAAGCTTGCCAGACTTACTACTTTAATGCTGCTGTTCCGTCCACGCCAGGAGAACCACCACCTGCCTCCCTTTTTTGGCATCTTGTCTCTCATCAAAGTGTCCACAGTAACCTGTGATAAATGCACGGTGACCACAGTAAAAGAAAAAAAAAGAAAAAAAGCAAAACAGAAAAACATCTAAATGAATGAAATAATAAGCCAACCAAAAAGAAACATGTAAAAAGCAATGAACCAATGACAAGCAAGCACAGGTATGAGAAACATACATACTGTCTGTTGGCCACAGAGACTAGAAAAACAAAATCTAATGGAATCTACCAGAGCACAGACGTAATCAAAGCAAGAGTACTTGAAAAAAAAAAAAAACACAAGAAAAAGAAAACACAAAAGTTTGTTAGTATTTGGAATTACATACGGACATGAATGCTAGATGGAGATGAAATGTTTGCCAAGGACAACTTCACCCGAAAGGATTATTCCATTGAAAGTGAAACAGCATTATGTTTATTCTCCCAATAGACTCTTAAGGCTAAACTCCAGGCATGCAGTTAGAAAGTTATCACACACATATATGGAAACTGTTTTACCAGCCTAAGGATTTGTGATTCTGTTCAGCTAGTCTTATGAGCCAGGCACCCTACCTGACATTGTATCCCGGTTAAAGAACTCCCTGCACACTACACTGAAGTTCATGCAGAACTCAACTGTATCTGAGCACCACCAACTGAAAACACAATTTAAATTCATTTTTAATATTCAACGCAAACTCACCCATACATCCATTTTCAATCGGGAAATCACTTTGAAAAACACCCCCTAGCATTTATAGCTGTAACCATCTTGAGTAAGGGCAGATGATTCATGTAGCATTTACATCCTGGAATCCATCTGCCCTTATCTCAGGCACACATGTAGGAGGGTGTGTTTGGAAGCCCCTCCTCACCTCCAACAGATGAAAAAAAAAGGGTAAATATAATATTCCTTCCTATATATTTACGAACGATAGTAGCATAAGGATTAAAATTAATTAATGTTGATTAGGAGAGTAAAGTTCCTCTTTATTCAATACAGCCCGTTCAGGTGCTGGTAGTGCAGCCAGGTCCTCGCCCTCAATGACAGCATGGCTTGATCAAAAATACATCCCCCAACTTAACTGAGAAGTTGTCCCTCTGCTCACCTGCACATTTGCAAACAGCAGAACCTGACTAGAACATAGAGATGCCCTACCCTCTTCCTGTCTAAGGGACAGTGTATGGATATCGGATAGATTCAGGTACTTACACTGGATTCTTCCAAGGAAAAAAACAATGATATTTAATAAATACATAACAGCATTAGTGGTTGTAAACCCTTACATACACCCAATGAAAAGACTGACCTCAGGTGATAAATATTAAACAAATCCTCCTATATAAATTGTACCTCATAATCTGCAGTCTTCTCTTCTCTACATCAGTTCAAAGCCCAGAATTTAAAAAGCTTGTCTGAGCTTTCATAAAGCAGGGGTGGCGGAGAGCTGAAATGGGGAGCCTAGGAGGGAAGGGACACCCCCACCTTCACATAGCACACAGTGCTGAGACGGCCAATCACAGGCTGTGTGCTGGAGGTCCCTCTCATGTCACCTCTTTTCTCTTGGTGTCAGAAAACTTTGTTAGAAGTGACTCATACTGATAGAGGAACAAAGCAGCAGACAGTAATGACACTCGATACTCTTGAGACAAGTATACACTATAGAGGGATATGCTTTTTTCATATTTCATGTCTGAGGTTTACAACCACTTAAAATGCTGCTTTCATGTTTGCCTGGAGTTCTGCTTTAAAGGTCTAGAACGGAGAGAGGTCTTAATCTCTTTGTTGCACAGATTTCCTACTGCAAAGCCATGCTGCTTAGTTGAAACTTGTTCCTATACATATTCCAACAAAGAATCACAGGAAGGTGACTAACACAACCAATTGCAGGATTCTCTGCAAGAATATATGTAGATGACAATTAATCTGTGTGGAGTTGTCCTCAGGACTAGTAAACCCAAAATACAATTTTCTTATCATATCATAGAATATATCATATATGACATGCATGTAAAGGTTTTAGGCCAAGACCCTCTACATACATGCTATGACTAGTGTACCTACTACATTAGATGTAAGTGGGGGACAAGAGCCCACTTAGCTGATTAGCTGACATGGGAAGGCTGGTGGGAACTGCAAAATGAATCCCTCCGGGACTATAGATCTATCTCAGATATCAGATCTAATCTGATAAGCTTTTAAAATGTTCACATACAGATCAATAAAAGTAAACTGTACTTTGGATTCACCAGTCCTTTTAAATGCATTTTGTTAAAGAGGAAACGCATTGCTAAACGTGTAATTAGGAAAGTACACTTTCCAACAGTCCTCAGACGCCTCATAGATTTTCAGGGTGAGGTGGTGCCCCCCAGGAAATGGGTTTGATTGGGAACAAATGTATTTTGGCTGCATCTCTAGATGAAGATTTGGCCAATTGGAAATTTGTGTACATCTTTTTTTACCATAGAGGAATGTTGGCAAGAGGCAAGAATACAGAAAGGAAAAACTACAAAATAAGACAGAAAGGGTCAAAACTGCAAAAAAGACTCCATCAAAGGATTTTGTTAGGAAATAAAAATATTGACTGTGTATTTCCATTGTTACCATCCACCAATTTGTTGGAGAACTCTGCACAAAAATTGACGTTTCAGTTTAGCATGTTTGTTAGCAAGTCGAATCACCTGCTGTTCTGGGGACTTCAGTGGGGAGAGCTAGGTCTACCACAATTTTCAGTTTGGGTTGTTTGTTGGCAATTTGAATCACCTGCTGTTCACTTCAGTGGGGAGAGCTAGGTCTACTACAATTTTCAGTTTTGGGTGTTTGTTGGCAAGTTGAATCACCTGCTGTTCTGGGGACTTCAGTGGGGAGAGCTAGGTCTACACAATTTTCAGTTTTGGGTGTTTGTTGGGAAGCCGAATCACCTGCTTTTCTGGGGACTTCAGTGGGGAGAGCTAGGTCTACTACAATTTTCAGTTTTGGGTGTTTGTTGACAAGTTGAATCACCTGCTTTTCTGGGGACTTCAGTGTGGACAGCTAGGTCTAGCACAATTTTCAGTTTTGGGCATTTGTTGGCAAGCCGAATCACCTGCTCTTCTGGGGACTTCAGTGGGGAGAGCTAGGTCTACCACAATTTACAGTTTTAAAAAGTGTTAAGGATAATAAAAAGCCCAAAGCTGGTGTCCTGCTCCCTCATTAGCTTCTTCTTAATGTACAATAGTTAAATTATTCGGGAGGCCATGTGCAGGAGATGCTTTTTAATAAGTCCACATGGATGGAGGATGCAAACTCCTACATGTAAATCTCACCAGTGGAATCTTCAGAAGATAAAAGATTCCAGCAAGTAACTATTTCCTAGCGCCCATACAAAACTGAAACGTACTGAATGTTTTGGGTGATGTTTTCTAGGTTGATCTTTGCTGCGTGGCCTCTAGAACCTGCACTGCCTCTCTTCAGAATGTCTTCTGGCCATGCTCTGTAAAAGCTTTTTCTGAAGGACTGATTGGACATTCTGATGTCCATGACTGGCAGATGTAGGTCCTGGCCAGGAGATTTTTTTGGAAGAGGCTTTGTGGCTCTCAGTGGACGCACAGCAAAGATCTCGTAGAATGTTGATACAGCTTCTTTTTTTTTGGCCCCCTTGGGGAGGGACCCTACTGAATCTTTTTTTTTTTTAGACATCTGTTCTAGATAAACTACAGTTTGCTTATTATTTACACCAAAGATGGCGGCGATTCAGGTTACAGCCCATGGAAAGCAGAAGACAAAGCATTGTAAAAACAATATTGTGTGCACTAGGATTGCAGCAGGAAGAAAACTGGATAAAAATAAAAATTGTAGTAGATTAGGCAAAGCATGTGTATTTTCCTTGTTACAGCTCTGGCACTGCCTGCGACTAGAACAAATACACAAGATAACACCAGATGATTCTGTTCCAGGGTTGTCACAACTAAATGGATGCAGCATTTACTGGTATAACTCACAAGAAGACCCCTTCCAGTGTGTGATGAAAAAATGTCTGACTCCAAATTGTGAAAGATACACTGGAACCATGAGGTGAAATCATGAACTGTTTCAGGATAATAAATGTGTAGGGTCCATTGTATTGTCCACTGGAAACTATTCACATGTACTTCATTTATAAGCCCAGAATTCCTATAGCTTTGCAAATCAGCAAAGCTCATGCCCTCTGGTGATTGGTAAGCTCCAGCTCTGACTGAGTGGGGAGCGTGTTGGACCTCTGCAGAGAGACTACGGATTCCATACAAAGAGCAAGAGTTTTTCATTGCAGCATGCTGGCAGGGGATAGGCTTTTCTACTCAGACTGTGTCAGCTTTCTAAAGAAAACCAACTGTAAGACTGAGCCTTCACAGGAGTCAGTCTTCAAGGGACTGAGATTGAGCTCTGCAGTCACTTATGCAGCAGTTTTCTTATTCCAGGTCACAATCCTGCACAATGTCCTTTTGTCTCTCTTTTGGTTAGTTGATCATGTCGACCGTGCTTAAGCTAATCAGACTAAGTTTATCTAGAAACTGTATATGCCATCATAACCTTTGATACCGTACCCCATGACTTGGCAAATAAATTGGCAACTTCCATCATAGAGGCACCAGCTAAGCAGGCACCAGCAATTTGCCCTCTTGCTGCTCAGTAAGCTCTGACATGACTCCGTATCACTAACAGCACATGCAGTGATTGACAAAAGTGAGGCTTCCCACCTAATTTGTTCCTGCCTTTGTTTTCAGCTTGATAAGGGTTTTTAGAGAGGTTAGGGTGGAGACTGCAGAGGGGTGCGAGAGCAAGAGGCAGAGACACAGCAGTACGCTGATCTTTCCAGTGAAGAGCTGGGGGGGGGGGGGGTTCAGAACAGATCTTGGCCACTGGAGGACAAGCAGGCTGTGCTCCCTGTACAGCCAGAAAACAAACTACACTTGGAGGGATGTGGTCCCACATCTAGCATGGTCAGTTTGCAATAGGAAAGCAGGGGGACTGGCAGGACCACAAAGGGAGCAATGCAAAGAGAACAAGATACTTTTTAACACAAG